ACTCCTTTGCCACACTCATCAAGTTTTGTTTCAGTTTGGTATAAAAATTAATGAGATTACCCGTGTCTTATGTTCATAATTGTCAGGCAGCAATTCTGGCTTCTTTGTCTCTGTCCCTCTAGTAACGTGGTCTGTAGGAATCCAAAGTCATTTCACAGCAGTGTGTAGGACAGCTTCCTGCTTCCACAGAGCGGCAACAGGGAGAGGGGTCTCAGACTGGCTTCCTGTGCTTTCACTTAGGTAACAAAATAGGTGCTAAACGAAGCCAATATGTGAGTGCCGTTTGGAGTAATTTTATTTAGATACGAACTTCTGAAGTGACAAGACACAAATAGAGTCCAGTTCATGCTCACAGGCCACCCAAGGTGGCTTCCTGGGTGTGAGGTTCATTAACAGATCTTGAGAACTATGTCAGTGCAAGTGAGACCTATGTGGTTCCCAGGAAGTGTCAACATCCCTGTCCTTGTAAGATAGATGTCTCTGGTCATCTCCTGTCCTCACTGTGGGATAGATGTGTCTGCCTGTCTTCTGTTTTGTCTCTTGGCCCTCATAATTAGTCTCTACAGGGCAGAAGGCCCACTCCGAGGACTGTTGAAAAGCAAGTGGGGAATTGAGGAAACACACCAACCACTGGGAGCATGAAGGGAGCGGGAATGGAACTGTGGTCCTCAGGCGGCCAGAAGACATGGACTCCAGCCATCCCTTCCTTCATTCCTGTTACCCAGGAAGCTCCCTTGACCTTTCCAGACCTGCACCTCCTCTCCTGTGACATGGCAGGTGAAATTCCATCAGCACCCCTCGGAGGGCAGACAGCAGCTGCCCATGGCAGAGTTACCTGTGGTCACTACACTGGCAGACTGCTTTGACCCCAACCCAATCCAGCTTACTGGATTGAACCCCTGGGATCTACACAGAGAATTCTTGCTCTAGCCAATCTCACAAGGGGTTTGAATGTCTCCTCAAGTCAGAAAATTATAACCACACTAAGTCCACTCCAGACCAAAGAAGCCTAACCCAGTGATTCGTTACCAAAACAAGCAAACACACCAATGAGGAATCTGCTTCTCATCCCTCCTTACAAACAAGGCTTGAACGTCCTGGTCCTCCTTCCCGAAGAGGCTGATTGGAAAATGGAGAAAGGGAGCACTAACATTTGGCCCCTTCGATCTGGGCCCAGCACACGTTTTCCAGTGGAATCACCAGGAAAGTCAGCAGGTGCCGGAGGGACAAGAAGACGCCTTCGGTTGCAGGACCTGCCCCAGGCCATGTTCCTCCCAATTGGGACCACGCAGGTAGCATGACCCTAGAAATGATGACAGCATGGCCTGTCAAGAAGCACTAGGACATGAGTCTTTTTCAGCCTTTTCTGTCACAGTGCTGTGTGGTTCTGGACCCATAGCTGGTAATAATCCTATCAGAGTAAACTATGTTTCCTAACCTGACAAGATGACACTTGTCATTACTTTTGGGAATGAGTTCCTTCATCATGCCATTGAAGGGCCAAAACGCACATAGAGGAACCTTTCTTGACTGCCAGGGTCCTTGTGGGTGGAACTTCAAGAAGGAAATGCTACACTTGGACCCCTCAGGTCCTGTTGGCCACACCTCCGCACCAGCTGCCACCTGCTATGAACACATTACCTTTGCTTGACCTTCTGCTGGCTACCCTAGGGCTCCTCCCATGAGGACCCATGGATCACAGTCAACGCTCACACCTGCAGCCATCAGGTTGGGTGTGGAGACTAGGAATTCACTAGGAACCACAGAGATGGGGCTAATTCTGCATGTCACATCGCACAGATGTTCCAGAAACATTCCACAAGAAGGCCTGCACTTGCCTCTAGGCATGGCCGACTCCACCACACATCCTTGTACTGATGGCTCCAACTCTCCTGCCTTTCCCCTGGCCTCTTCCTGCTGTCTGAGGTCACTTTGAAGATCCACTTCCCCCACACGGGCCTTTGCCTGGATTCTACATTGAGGGAAGCCAGGCTAAAACACACCCCAAAGTCGGCAGTAAAACAGGCCAACTGCTGGCAGCCAGTCCATTGTCCTTCAGGGTTAGAAAAAGTGGATGTGTTTTGGTTGTGCATAAATTCTAGAATCACTGTTGCTTCTGAGACTGTTCCACACTGTAAGAGGCTTGTGAGAAGCAAGGTTGAATGCGGAAGTAGATAAACCTTGTGTCCCATATCACAGTCATCCAGTTGCTCCTTTACTCATTTATCTAACAAGTAAGAGCCTGACAGACAGAAGCCTCTTCCTTCCCTCTCTCCTCCCTCCCTCCTTTCCTCTGGATTTACTTGAATTCCTAAAGCTTCACTGTGCTCAGTGTAGCACTTCAATTTTAAGTAGCAAATCTAGAACTGAAACAATGTTGCTTCTTTCTTTGTTCTCTCAAGACCAGGAAAAAAAAAAAGTCCCAAGATGGGGTTGGTTGAATTTGTAACTCACTGTTGACCTCTTAGAAAATGAGGAGTTGGGGTGATGGGGGAGCAATGACTCTTTGGGGGCAGTGGGTATGGTCCTGTGTGACACTGCTTGTGTCATGGTGTTCTGAACACCTCATGTTCACCTCTTTCCCCAGGGCAGTGACCATCTGCCTGAGGGTCATTGCCAACATCTTAGTGCTCCTGTCGCTGGCTGGGAGCATCTATCTCATCTACTTTGTGGTGGACCGGTCCCAGAAGCTGGAGCAGTCCAACAAGGAGCTGACACTTTGGGAAAAGAATGAGGTACAGGTTCCCATTAATTTTATCAGTAGGTACCCTCCAAGAGAGACAGTGCCACCTCAGCAGGAGCAAGCCCAGTCCTCTTGTCCTAGGCACAGACCACAAGGGCTTGGAGCCTGAGTGGTATCACCAAGCCCTGGCTAAATGACTTACTGGTCCCTGTATGAAAGAGTTTGGTTCAAAACCACCTTGAAGCGCTCACACTGGTCTTCACCTTGAACTTGGCTGTCTGTGCCTTGCCTTTCTCTCTGCCCATCACACCCAAGCTTCCTAAGTTGGCTCCACCTGCAGACGTGCACTGACGACTGCATTGCATTTCAGAGTGCATCAAGGTTGACCAGGTACCCCCGTTGAGTGCTTGAGGGTTTTCCTTATATCTATGTTATAAATGATGCTTCTAGAACAAATACCCTGCAAGTGGTCAGGCATTGAACAATCTTCCCCTCCCCATTATTTGGCTATTCTCATAATAGAAAAATCACTAAGTAGAAGACTATGGACAATTTTAGAATTTGGGGTTTTTTTTTGTTGACATGGCTGGGTTTTAACTCAGGGCCTTGAACTTATGAGGCAGACCCTCTCCTACTTGACTCACACCTTCAGCCCATTTTGCTTTGGTTATTTTGGAGATAAGATCTCACTTTTTGCCCAGGCAGGCCTGAACCTCAATCTTTCTATTTTTAGCTTGCCACTGTCACGAAGATGACAAGCTTGAGCCACTACACACCCAGGTTTTTCTGTTGATACGGATACAAACATTTTTTGGGGGAAGTGTGGGGGGCAGAGCTCCCTGGAGTCAAAATTCCCCTGATCTCTGCCTGGGAATCAGGCTGCACCACTGTATCTAGCTATTGGTTGAGATGGATCTCCCAGTCTAGGCTGACCTCAAACAGCAATGCTCCTGATCTCTGCCTCCCAAGTAGCTAAGAATAGGGGTGTGAGTCACCAGTGCCTGGCTTAGAGTTCTTAATATTTGTAACAAGACTGTGGTCTGAAAAGTTGGCTCAATTTGCCTGTAAAGGTTGGAAGGACAGAAATAACAAAAACCAATTTCAGATCACTTCTATGAAAACAATTAGCATCCATTTAAAAAGTCAAATGTATAAGCAATAAGATGACCACCAATTTATTCTGCGTGTATTTATAAGTATGCAGTAACTTGTCAAAGTCTGAGAATACACTGGGCAATCTTTTCCCACACCTCTTTCTATTTTATGTCAGTGAAGTGAATTATCTAAACGTGTACCTTTTTACAGATAGATGGATTTTAAAGATAGATTCAGAAATTGTTTACTTTAGTTTGAACATCTTGTGTATGAGCCAACATTCCTCTTTCTGTTGCTGTAAGTACAGAGAAACAAAAGCCAGACATAATTCTCTGGACAATTAATCCTCATGTACAGAAAGAAAATTAAATTACCTCTCTCACTTCCCTTTTCTATTTATAGCAACAGCAGTCATTTCCATCTTCCATCCATGGTCAGGGAAGTATAAATAAAATGGGATGGTAATTTTAAAATGTGGCAGAAATGCTAATGAAACCCAAAGGCCATATACAAGCATCCTCACAACAGTAAAGAGCCCCCATAAGGAATGAATGCATGATAAAATGATGGAGCCTTAAAAAAAGATTATTAGTAGAGATTTGAGGCAGTTTTCCATGCAGGGAGTGCACGGCCCCATGAAGACCTTCTAGCCAAATATTAGCGTCAAGAGACCAAATGCAGGTAAATGAAGCTGGCAGGGGGACTTGGGGTCACAGGTCTGGCACATGCTCTCTTGGCAGGTGAGCGTGGTGGTCTCCCTCGTCACCATGTTAGCACCATCTGCCTTTGACCTCATTGCTGCCTTGGAGATGTACCATCCACGAACCACGCTACGCTTCCAGCTGGCCAGGTATGGCAGCCCTGCCACCACAGGGAGAGTGCGAGTCCCTCAAGAGCCAGGATGGCTTCTTCTCCCTGTCACTTAGCACAGAACTTCACTTCTGGATGCAACTCAAGGAAAGCAGTGAACAAAGGAGAGAAAGGAGAGGAGGCAGGAAAGGGGGGACCAGAGCCACTCTGGATCCGTAGGTAATGAAGAAGAGGAAACAGAGAACAAGGATGGGGAACAACAGGAGGAGAGAGGGAGAGGCAGGCAGAGAAAGCAGACACAAAGGACACACGGACGATGAAACATGGCTGGTATTCCTCACTGTTGAATTTCGCCCAAGTTTTGACTCTGAGTGGTGAAGAGGCACAGTGGTTTTTCCAGACAAGAGAGGCACAGTTTGTGTTCTCAAAAAGCATGGAGTCACAGAGGTTCTTCTGGATGTGCTGGGAGCAGCAGGGGCTGTCAGGGAGGTCAGTGGTGGCAAGGCAGGCAGAGAACAGTAGGCTGGACACCAACCAGGACACCCCCCCCCCAACACGCACACACACTCTCAAGAGTGAGAATACCCACATTCACTTGTACCGTGTCTTCATACTCTCTTCTCTGAAGTGCCATTCCCTCATCCAGTAGGCTTAGGTGAGGTGTTGGTAAGCTGGATGTAGCCAAGGAAGATGGTCAGAGCCCTGTCTCTTTGCTCCCTCCACACCCTGTCATCCCACTTTTCTCCTGGGACATGTTCTCCAGAACTCATTTCCCAGTCCACTGTGAGAAGACTTGATCCCATTCGGGAGCTGTCAACATCTTCTGAGCAGGATGTAACAGTAAATATTTTAGATTTTCTGCATCATACAAACATCTCTGTCATAACTCTAAGCTCTAAGCATCAAAATAGCCAATGAAGGGTGGGGCTGTGTCCCAACACACCTTTATTTACAAAAATAGCCAAGGCGACATTTCACCGGAAGGCCATAATCTGCCAATCCCTGGACTCCAACCACCATTTCAGAGACAGGAAAACATGACTAGAAAGACCAAAACCTCACAGTCCAGGGAGAGCTGTAATGCTCAGTCCTCTGGCTCCTCACCCTGGTCCCTTCTGCCCCACTTGGCACCTCTGTGACCTAGACAAGAACGCCTTCCTCAGCTACCTTCCTCACTAGCAGGCATTGGGGAGAATCAATCCCATTATTGCATTTGGTGTAACAGCAATCCTATTACACAGATTGGTCTCGTTATTCATGTACAAAACTAGAGAAACAGAGACATGGAGAGAGATTTACCCTCAGACAAATTAGAGCTAATTCTGGCAATAAGAGCGAGATATGACATACTATTTTAGTTCCATTAGCTCATCAGCGGGCTGTGTTACCTTTTAACCAAGGCACAGGCACATCGTGATGCCAGGACACAGAAGATGAAATTTGTTCAACTCTTCCTTCAACCAACACTTTCTTTTTCTGAACTAACTGTGAATGCAGAGATAAAGAGGTCCTGGCACTGTGGTTAGGGAATCCTTTCAGAATTTCAGAGGGAAGTCATTGCAGGTTGCAAGGATGTCCTCTGAAGACTTCTGCCTTAAGGTGTGAAGGAGGCCTATGGGCCTAACTGACTCGTGGTTTCCTTTTGGAGTCTCCTTCATTCAGATAAAGCTGTCGTCCTCCCAGCGCATTCCTGCAAGCAGTGTCCCACAGACCTGAGGTGCCTCCTGGGCGATTCTTTGATCACACTTCCCAAACCTTCCAACTCTGGGGGAACTGACAGCAAGGCTGTGGTCCCTGGTGGGTGGAGACTGTTGCTGGCAAGTCCACCCACTCGCACCTGTCCTCTTGGTGTGGTCCCACCACAGCCCCTCTGTGCTTCAGAGGTGGAGCCCTGGGACCCTGAGGTGGCACCCTGACTCTTTCCAACCTTGTGAAACTCAACAGTCACTTTGTGTCCTCCACGTCTCAGTTTAATTGTCCCTTAAGTGGAGGTTAGAGCAATATGAACCGTGAGGACCAAATGAGGTAATGCATGGAAAACCAGAAAGCCTGACACAAAGACACGCTTCACACTGCCCGCTAGAACTCCACCTCCTAAACTCATAGACTTTCTGCTACACTAGTGGTTTGGTTTTATTTTGTCTTGGTGGTGTCTGGGTTTGAACTCAAGGCCTACCAGCTATTAAGCAGGTGCTGTACCACTTGGGCCATGACACAAGACCTTCTTGGCTTTTGTTATTTTTCAGAGAGGGTCTGGTGTTTTTGCCCAGAAATGGCCTCAGACCTTGATCCTCTCCTACTTATGCTTTCTGTGTAGCTGGGATGACCTGCAAGTGCCACCATGCCTGGCTTGTTGATTGAGATGGGGTCTCACTAACTCTTTGCCCAACCTAACCTTGAACCTTGACCCTCCCAATCTCCACCTCCTGAGTATCTGGGATTACAGATATGAGCTACTGGCCTGGATGCACTAGTTTTCTAAAATACTAATCCAAGGACGGGCTTCCATGGAATAAACTGGGAAAGGTGTAAAAAGACTTCCAGACCCCATCCAGACATATTGAAGCAGGGCAGATTCTGGAATTCTGTACTTTTTATGCCATCGAGGTGATTAAAGGGATGCCAGGTGTGGCAGCCACTGTCTCAGCATACCCATGAGAGTCCAGAGCCATGTGGAAGGTCTAGACCCATGGACTTGAATGAGGTGGTCATGTTTCCCAAGATGACTTGTGTCTTTCAGGGTCCTGGTGCTGTACCTGGGAAACCTCTACAGTTTGATCATTGCTCTCCTGGACAAAGTGAACAGCATGAACACTGAGGTGAGTGCCCCAGATGGGACAGACACCTGACTATCACTGCCCTCACCCAATGGCAGGGTCACCATCACTTTCCAACCCCCCAAATGCCAGGGTCACCATCATTGCTGTCAACGTCAGTACTTATACTTGTATTCCACTCATCACATCCGAATTTGACTCAGCTGTGGTCCTCTCCAGGCAAGGATAGAGAAATTAGCCCCATTTCCTAGGCAAAGAAACTGAGGCTAGGATTCACAGCTAGCAAGTGACCATGCTGGGTGAGAACCTGGTGCCTTGCACTCCATCTCTTTGTACCATACCATACCCAATTTCCTCGAATCCTCTCCGGAAAAACTGTTAACAGCCATTGCAAAAGACCCCAGGAAGAGCCATGGGACTCGTCCGGAAAATCAGGAAAAAATGATATTTTCACAGCCCACAGTTCACAGTGAGACTTAACATCCTGGTCTAGCAGGACTCGCCATGCCCAGCTTAGGGTAGCCTTTGGTGTCCACTGTCTACGTGCTCCACTGGCGAGGTCATCTGGAAGGTGGGGGAGGGGAGGCAGGGAGGAAGAGATTCCTGAGTGTTGTTTGCCCAAGATTTAGCATGGAATTCCAAAGCATATAGGCTGAAGAGGTCACAGAGAGGCCACTTTTCTACACCTGGGCTTTGAGGTGACATAGACCCAGGTCCTTACCTACCACTCACTAGCAGTGTGACCTGGAGCATTGGCCTCCACTCACTGAGTCTCAGTCTCCTCGTGAGCATGGGGATGCTCCTCTTATGAGGATGAGAAAATTAGGATTTCTTAGAGGTTTCTGACATTTACTAGGGATTAATGAACACTGTCCATTACAGCTCTGTGCCCTATGATTGGGGCCAACTCAAGTCAGAGATGAGAGAGGAAGAGAGAAGAGAGAGAGAGAGAGAGAGAGAAGAGAGAGAGAATGATCATTCCCAAGCAATGCACTATCCTTTGCGGGTTGCTCTTGATGGATTCTTTTATTTATAGACATAAGGATAAACTTTCTTTGTTCCTTCCTTCTCTCCCCCCTCTCTCCACAGGAAGCTTCTGCCAAAAACACCAGTCATTGGACAGACTCTTCCTCCTTTGCCACCAGGACAGCCCCTGAAGAAGGGGAGTGGTCCACACCCCAGTCGGGAGCAGGGCTCAGGAGAAACAGCACATGGGGCTTGGAAGAGACTAGTTTTCCAGCGTACACTGTGTCACTTACGAGGGCCAACAAGACCACGCTGTACACCCAGAGTCCCCAAGGCCAGTGCTGGGAAACATATGTTGGACAGGTGGTCCTCTCTGACACCTATGGAACCCTTCACCTCCATTTTGTCACCCAACCTTAGCAGCTGTCTGAGGAATTATTGCCTCTCCTTTATGGAGAAGGAAAGCAAAGTTCAGAGAGGCTTATGCTTTTTCAGGTTCCAGGTGTCAAAATTAATAACAATAGTGGGAACTTTGTGCCAGGTGTTGTCCTCCTAAGGGCCTTATGACCTTACCCTTCTAGGCAGGTGAGGCCCAAGTTGTTTAGCAAGTTGCCTGAGAACGTGAGAGTGCAGAGCAGAATAAAATCAGCAATTTCTACCTTGGGCCTTAGTCCTGTCAACAGTGTGGACTCTCGAGGTGTTTCCTGTGGAAATGAGCCCCCTGTGGCTCAGACCCTCGGACCCTTATTCTTTCCTGCTTTTGTGTAATGCTGACCTCAAATGCCAGAATTCAAATTCCAATCAGTAAATACTAACTGAGCACCTGCTATGTGCCAGAAGCTGCTCCCTCTGCCCACTGCAGGGTGTAGATATAGAGGCTGAGGACAGCGGAGGGACACTGCCTCAGGCCAGGGGAAGGAAGACTGGGAGGACCTTGAAGGAGGCGGTGGCCAGGGAAGGGCAGGACTGGGGCCGGGGGGGCGGGGCCTGATGAGGGAGGGCGGGGCCTGATGAGGGGAGGGCGGGGCCTAGTAAGGGGAGGGCAGAGTGGGAGGAGGGCAGGGTTTATGCCAGGTGGGCGGGGCACAGTGAGAGCAGGGTTGGGGGCGTGGTGGAGGGGTGGGCGGGGTCTTGTGCAGGGTGGGCGTGGTGCGGTGCCAGGAAGAGGGGTGGGGCGCGGTTGGGGGAGGTGGTCCGGGTAGGCGGGGCCTGGTGCAGGGGCGGGCTTAGTACATTGGTAGGGTGGGCTGGGCCTGGTACATGGGAAGGCGGGGTGCATTTGGGGGCGTGGTCTGGGTGGGCGGGGCGCCGTGTCAGCCCAGACCCCTCTTTGCAGGAGATGCTGAAGCTGTCAATCATAGACATGCTCTTCACCGTGGCGAGTATCCTGCTCATCGACTTCTTCCGAGGACTTTTCGTTCGCTACTTGAGTGACTACTGGTGTTGGGACCTAGAAAGCAAGTTTGTGAGTAAAATGCTGTTTCGGTGGAGCTCCTATGGCTGGATCCGTCCTTTCCTGACGCCTAGGCTGGGTGCACGAGAGAAAATGCAGGGGGAGGAGAACGAGGAGTCCCGCCTCTCCCGTTGGCTGGTGTCACCCGCAATGGTCTCCAGTGGCCATGGGTGTGACGGTGAGGGACTGGCATGTGCAGACATCCTTGCACATTTATTTCTAATGCAGAAATTCTTCTCTTGCAGCCAGAATACGGGGAGTTCAAGATCGCCGAGAACGTGCTGCATTTAGTCTACAACCAAGGGATGATTTGGTAGTTACCGTAGCCTCTTGCCTGTGTCCACCATCACCTGGCCGGGGTCTTGATTAGTCTGAATCGGAAGTGACCAGAGTAAACACGGTCATAGCATTAAGAAGGGACATTTGCTAGGGATCCATTTCTCTTATCCAGTAATTTCATCAATGCTTTTATGAAGGTTTTTCAGGGAAGTTGAAGGAAACAGCCTATTTTTAAGCTGCTTTTGCTCACAGCCACGCTGTAGAATAAGCTTCTGCGGAGGGTGAGGATGCTCAACCCTGGTGACCTCAGGGTGCTGTGGTCACAGCTGGAGCTCTTGGGGCCCATCCTGCCCTCGCCCCACCATCTCTCCTGGTTTTCACTTAGACCCTGGGTCGAGGAGCTTGGGATGCACTGAGCTTAGTGCAGTGCTGTGGATCTTGGTGCATTTTGCCATAGCACTGCCCAAGACACTCCACCTTTCAACAGCTTTCAACTTTTCACTTGATTACATCAATTAAGCACAGTTACTTTTACCCTGCTTTTTGGGGACCATTTGCTTTTATGGGGAGGCAGATTTCCACAAAAATTAAGGGCAGAGGAACACTTGGTGATCGCACAATGAGCTTCTCCACACTCACTGAGCTCTGTGAAATGCATACAGAAATTTAAATTTTTGGTTTTGAAGTTTCTTTTATTTATTTATTGACCATGACTGTCAAAACTGTGTGTTCTAGGTCAGCAAACAGGGAGGGCTTTTGTATCCCCATGTCTTTGGGAAAATCAGTTTGTTTTCCCTGACTTGCCTTCCTTGTCTATCAGCTTTATTTATTTAACCTTCCTTTCATGATTTTGGAAGAATAAATGAACTAAAATGTGAGGATGCTTAGTGCAATATCCAGCAAAAAGTAGTCATGTGTAATCATAAATCATGTTGATTAAACCTGAAAGTCAGTAATTAATTACTTAGCAAAACCAGGTAACATCTGGAGGTCTCCCTGGGCTGCAGCTACCCAGCCCTCGCTCCTCCCCAGACAAGGGTCTTTCCTGTGCCCAGGTGTGAAGAGAGAGAGAATCCCGTAGCAGTCCTTTGCACAAAGTCGGACCACAACTCTCTGCAGGGGACTTGTCTTGTCTTGGGACGTGGAAGTTGAGGTCTCTGACCTTCTAGGGGCTTCTCTAGTTCAGAGCCATGCTCCTCCATGGGGTTTCTGGATCACAACCCAGGAACAGAACTTAGCAAACTGACCTTCCTCCTGGCTCCAGGATGGGGGCCTTCTTCTCCCCGTGTCTTCCAGCATTCAATGTCCTCAAACTCATCGGCCTCATGTACCTGCGCAGCTGGGCCGTGCTGACCTGCAACGTGCCCCACCAGCAAGTGTTCCGAGCCTCCAGGTAAGTAAGGACAAGGCCAGCCTTGGGCAGAGACTGTGGTCATTCAGGTGCCTCACCCAAGAGGGTCCCTTCGCAAGGGGTCACCTCTACTCTTTACCTGTCAGAACTCTGGTTTTTGTTTCTTGCATGACGTCACTGCCCAAGCTTCACCACTGGAATCAGTCATCAGCCCCTGGAACTCACAGCACATTTTAAAAACTTTTTTACCGAAGTTTAATGATCATTTGGAAAAAAAATGCACAAATCATAAATGTTGAGCTTGGTGAATTTTCACAAACTGAATACAAATATGCAACCAGCACCCAGATAAAAAGAAATAGAATATACAAAGCTGGGTGTGGTGGCTCACGCCTAAAATCCCAGCTTCTGCAGAGATTGGGAGGATTGGGGTTTGAGGCCAGCCCAGACCAAAAGTACTCCAGACCCCATCTCCAAAATAACCAGAGCAAAAAGGACGGGAGCTGTGGTTCAAGCGGTAGAGCACCTGTTTTACAAGCACAAAGCCCTGGGTTCAAACCCCAGTACCACCGGGAAAAAAAAAAAAATCCTAATCAAAAGAGCCGGGCTGGGAGCAGGAGAGAGAACTTTACGTAAGGACCTAGGTGAACACGGGCAACCGTCCTAAGACTTTTCCATAAGTTGAGCTGATGGGTGGGAGCCACACACTGCTCTGGTGGTATGTGGTTCACGAGTGTTCATTGATGCTTGCTAGATGACCATGTTGGCATGTTGGGCTAGAGGCTCTTGCGTTCCTTTGCACACTGATTTCATGTTTCTAAGCTGCACGTGACAGGATGACACAACCATTCCCACGTAGCACTGAGGGGAGGATCTCTTTGTCTGCAAAGAGTCGGGGAAAGAGTTTCTGGGAGGATCGTTTGGGACGTGCATTCTGGTGTGGGAATGAGCTCAGCCCATGGCGCTTGGTTTCTCTGCAGGTCCAACAACTTCTACTTGGCCACGCTCCTCTTTATGCTGTTCCTGTGCATGCTGCCGACTGTCTTTGCCATTGTCCGATACAAGCCATCTCTGAACTGCGGCCCATTCAGGTAAGTCACTGTAGTCCAGCCAGCTCTGCCCAGAACCGCTGATGGCTGTAGGGAAGCTGATTCACCTTGGATCGAATTCCCCTCCTGGCTCACAGAACAGGTAAACAGAATCAAAGGAGGCTGAACCCGCAGCCTTTGAACTCCAAACCGGGGCTCCTTCCAGCCCTGGAGTACAACAGTCTATGCTCTTGTTTAAAAGATACAGCTCCTTTAAAATTAAAAGCATAAAGGAAATAGTATTGTTCTTAGAATATAGAGAAATTCTGCCTTGGCAAAAGCCAGAAAACTGTATTAAAAGACAGTCTATGTCATGTTTTATTCTGCATTATCTAGATATCTCCAGGCAGAAACCCATTATGTCAGTTCTACCTAGCACTTAAGTCAGTTTTGATATAACAAGTATGTAACATTAAGAATCCATCTTTGTGAACTGTGTATGGTGGGTGTATGTCTGAAACCCCCGCTGCTAGGTGGAGGCAGGAAGATCTTGAGTTTGTGGCCAGTCCAGGCAAACTTAGCAAGACCTCATCTCAAATACAAATTTTTTCAAAAGGTGTGGAGGGGAGTCTGGAGGCATAGCTCAAGTGGTAGAGTGCCTGCCTAGTAAGGTCAAGTCCCTGGATTCAATCCCCAAAAATCTGTCTTTGTATACTTTGTTAAAATACACACATGCATACACACATGTGCACACATGCGCAAACGCACACCTACAGTGATTATTAACCCCCACCTCCATCCTACCTGTTAAGCAGATGACTACATCGTGATCTCAGGAATGTCCTATATCTTTTTCATTTGGTTATTTACCTCTATCTTTTGTAGCTGATTTTTTGTTGCTCCACTTCTGGGCATCCAGACATCTTGGTGTCTTTCAGGACTCCTCTGCCCAAAGCAATAAGATCTGGAGTTCTGCTTTTCTTTCTCACAGTGGACAACAGAAGATTTATGACATTGTGCCGGAGACCATTGAGAACGACTTCCCTGTGTGGTTCCGCTCCGTCGTGGGGCACATCAGCAGTCCTGTGGTCATCCTCCCTGCCGTACTGCTTCTGTTGTGAGTGGCACACCTACCGGGCTCCAGGGGACAGCTGTGGGTGTGGCCACAGGACAACACTGCTTTCCAATAACCACATAACATTAGTTAGTTCATTCAGAGACCACTTACAGAGCCTGGTGTTCTAAGCAGGGACTCTGAGACAGAGTGCAGGGCCACACAAGCCACCATGCCGTGAAGAGAGAGCCACTGAGTCTCCACAGGGAAGGGAAGACTCCTCAGCCGTGGGGAGCTACTGGTCTCTCAATAGCATTTGGTCAATTACTGTGACCACCGTAATGGGGCAGAACCCCGTTAGTATCGGTTATCTTATTCTCCAGAAACTTAAAACATCTTGGAAAGGAATTTCACAATTCAGCCCTGTAGCTCTGGCTCGTTTTGGCTCAAAGTGGACTCAGTACTCCTATTTGGTGTCCTGAAAAATGCCTCCCCATCTTGGCATGCTCCTTGTTGCTGTTGCAGTGCAGAATCCCAGGTCAGAGGGGTTGCATGGAAAGCAAAGAAAGACAGGCAGCTCGTGGGTCCATTCTGCCATGGTGAAGGGGGCAGTGGTAGCACATGACTGGCCTGGGCACTCACATTCCCGCCAGCCCCGTGAGCAGGGAGTGTGCCGTTAACACTCACTCACTCACTGCTCCCTGTCGCCTGTCCCAGCATGCTCATCTACTACCTCCAGAGCATCGCGAGGTCCCTGAAGCTCAGCAACCAGCAGCTCCGGATGCAGATCCAAAATGCAAGTATCAAGTGACCCCTGCCGTTAGAAGTGTGTCCTCTATCACTGCCTGACCAAGCTCTCTCCAGCGGGGGAATACAAACGAGGTCACCCCATCAGTGACCCTCTAAGGCACAAGGGCTCTACCTCCAAGGTGTCCTACAGGTGTTTCTGAGGAGCTCACGTTTGCCAGGAACAAAAATCCTGCTCATCTTTTCCCTCCTCTGCAAGGGGCCCAGAGCACTTGTGTGGCCCTAACACATCCACAGTGTGCCAGCCACCGCCACGAGCTCTAGTGACTGGAAGACAAGTGGCTCTTCCCAGTCCCATGCCCACTTGGACACCTAAGCCCAACAATTCTGTTGACCCCCCCGAGACCCACCACTCTCTTATCATTTGGATTATGGCTGCCATGCCCTTCTTTCCCATTTGGGACTGAAACCCTCTCTCCAAGCAGTCAGTGGGAGACAAATGCTCCCTTAACCCTCCACAATTACTCCACCTTTGCATATCCTAGGGTGTCCCATAAGATTAGGACTACGATGAGACCAGGGAAGCACCCAGGGCACCATGTTTTTTTGGGGGGGCATCTCAGGGTCATACCACCCTATCCTTCCACAGTCCTGGACACCTCACCTGCCTCACCCTCATCCCAGATTCCATGTAGAAAACGCCATCCACCATTTTCAGTTAAAAGAAAAAACTTCCTTAAATATCAATTCATGCAAAGAAGTACAAACTTCTTTTGTGAAAAGTCAAATGGGAAATTCTTTTGGAGCTAGGAGCTGGTGGCTCAGGCCTATAGTTCTAGTTACTTGGGAGACTGGGATAAGGAGGTTCATGGTTCGAGGCCAGCCTGGGCAAATAGTTCTCAAGACCCCCATCGCCAAAAAATTCAGAACAAAAAAGTCTGGAGGTGTGGCTCAAGTGGTATAGAGTGCCCGATTTGCAAGTATGAAGGCTTGAGTTCAAACTCAAATCCCACCAAAGAAAGAAAGGAAGGAAGGGAGGGAGGAAGGAAGGGAGGGAAGAAGAGAGAGAGAGAGAAGAAAGAAAGAAAGGAAGGAAGGAAAGAAGGAAGGAAGGAGAGAAGGAAGGAAGGAAGGAAAGAAAAATTCATTTGGAATTGCAAAGGGCACTTTGCTGATATGTAGCCCCAGTGTCGTCGGTCCACATTTTCTTCACTGTGACTATTCATGGCAGACGGTTACAGGTTGATCGTTTCTAATCTAAAAACCCCAAATCTGAAATTCTTCAACACCTGAGACTTTTTGAACAACAATATGCTGCCACAAGTGCACAGTTCCACCCCATGAAACTCATCTCATGGAGAAAATTATTAAAAATATTACATAAAAATTACCTTTAAGTCACGCGTATGAAACATATGAGAAAATACATGAATTTCGTTTAGATGCGGGTCACATCCCACAAACACCTCATTATAAATATGCAAATATTCCAAATGTTGGAAAGATCTGAAATCCAAAACACTCCTGGTCAACCGTTTCAATAAGGGACACTCAACCTGTGTTGCCAGAATCCAAACTCAGCCTATGAATAAATAAAACCAATTAGACATAAAACTCTGGCTCTCGGGTGTCTAACTTACTCACTCTAATGAGAGGCCTGAGCTCGGGACTGTCTTCAGGTAGTTTTCTAGTTGAGTCATGCCCCAAGGTATCAACAATGGCATATAAATCTTTCTCGCCCCTAAAATATAAGTTTTTACTGCTTCCTGCTAAATCCAAAACAAACATGGCTTTCTTTTACATTTTAGGCCAGATCTGAAGATAAGAAAAAGGTTGCCCAAATGGTAGAAGGTAAGTTTATTTTAAAAACTCAAAAGTCTACTCTCTCCACTGGTGGGCATTTAAAAATAACACGATTAGGAAAGTCAAGGCCCTCCTCCACCACCAGGGACTTCTGATAATGGAAGTAGTTTTCATAATTAGCTAGACACAATAAAATAAATCCTGGGGCTGGCTTTAAATGCTGATATTAAGCCTTCAACTCTTACGTCACGTCCAGGCCTGTAAAAAAAAATCTCAAAGCATCTGAAATCGGAAGGAAGTTATAAAGTAGTAGGACAAGCTCAGTCCTCCAGAGGAAAGCCCTAAGAACACGCTTGTCCTGTCCCTTTTGTGCATTTCCTGTGGGTGGTCCATGTCTTCCTTGTACCTCTTCCAGGTCTCTACCTGGAACCCAGCCTCCATAGGTCCTGTCCTTTCTGTCCCAACCCCGCCAAGTGATGCCAGCTGGGCAGTCCCATCCATAAAGACCTGAGTAAGGATCCAAACCCAAGGGCTCCCCAAATATACAACTTCTCTCCAAGGTTCTCCAGATTCACACCCATCCAGACTTATGGGGGGCAGGGATGAAGAGAAAGAGCTGAACCCCAGAAGAAATGAAGGCCTGGGGAGCAGATGTCTGCTATGGCCTGAAGAGAGGCAGGTGGCAGGTGCAGCTCAAAACAAAAACAAACAAAAAAATGAGCCCGCCTCTGGGAACCATAACAGAGCATGCACCATTAGCCTGGCACGGCCCATGGGCTCCCTCAGAGTATGAATGAGAACAGGTTCTGAAAGCTCCATGGGAAACTCCCAGAGCTGTTGTAATAGCCAGCTCGCTGAAGGAGACTCTTACCCTGCAGGAAGATGCCGGAGTAAGTCACGAGTGAGGCCTAAGGGCTGAGCTTGCTCCATCCAGCTCTGCAGAGAGAAGTGACTGAGAATTAACTATGGAAGGAGACTGGCTCCTGCTGCAAACCCACTGTAATCATCAGAGGTTATTGTAACTAAGAACAATTAAGTTTATCTCAGGTAGCACCCTGAAAGCCCCATCTACAGAGACTTTCCAAAGGTAGCAAGAGTGTTGTCTAATCTCCATTTTGCACTTTAAGGCCACATCTTTTTTTTAGAATACCATGTGAACTATTTCCCCAAAACCTTAATTGTCACGTAAGATTTATCATACCCATTGTTCAGATAAAGAACCAGAGCCCAAAGCTGTTGAGTAACCTATCTTGTCTACACTTAATCCCCCTACACACCTTCCTTTAGCTTTCTGCAATAAAATTATCTGAATTTCAGGACCTTTGTTGCCCGTGGCTTAGGTGAACTTGCAAGTGCACCCAAGTGTTTGTAGAATCAACTGTTTGGCAGTCATGAAGTCTCTCAGCTAAACCTTGAGTTCGTCAGCTTTTCATCATGGTAACAAATACCTGAGATGATCATCCTACAGGCTAACAGCTTTAGGGGTCCCAGAACACAATCAGGTGGCCTCATTGCTTGAGCAAGGCAGCACATCACGGTGACAGTGAGTGGCCAGGAAGCAAAAGAGGGGAAGAGAGCAGATTCCCATAATCCCCTTCAAGGCCACACCCCCTATGACACAAAGACCTCCCACTAGACCCCACCTCCCAAAGTGCCACCTTCCAATAGTGCCATCCTGGGAACCAAGCCTTAACACATGGGCTTTTGAAGGACATTCAAGACCCGAATGATGGCAAGTCTGAATGAACCATCTCACAAGCCCTCCCTCTACCTGCAGCTCGAATTCAGACCCAGGAGGAAAGCATCAAGAGACTTCCGAAAGACAGCGATCTCTCCAGCCCACTGTCCTCTGTGCGCATGGTGACACCCCAGAACAATGGCAGTGCAGTCCATTTCAACTCACTCAGCAGCAAGAGCAGCCGGACAGAGGCCATCACCAGACCCATGCCCCAGAGTCCTAGGCTGGGGCACAAGGGTCCCTGCTCACCTCTTCCTGGCATCTCCAAATCAAGGCCAGAGCTGGATACTAACAGGTGAGCCTTACTGTGACACGAGGAAACTCAGCCTCCTTGAATGTGACACCAGTGATGGCCCAGACACACACAAGTTGCAGGCAGAAGAGTCTCAACAATTCAGAGGTCACAGCGATGACATTTTAATTCTGCCGTAAGGCCAGCCACGAGGTCAAAGGAGCTGGTACTGAGAAATGGAGGTGGGGGAGGGAGGGAGTTCAAAGTTTGTCAAATAGGACAAATTCTTCCTCCCCCACTCTCTGCCATATACCCTGTGAGTACCCCTTCCCACCAACCTGAGGCAGACACTTTTATAGCCTTGAAAAAAAATGCCTTTTAAAATTGTTTTCCTTCGAGGCTTTTGGTTTCAGACCAGCTAGAGTAATGGCAAGGTCTGTATTTCAGCTGCACACTGACCAAGTTGTTGTTGAGATCATCTGTGCTTCATAGGGGCCGACTGGTCAGTATTAGTTACAGGAGGGCAGTAGAGCCCTGCTTCCTTAAGTGGACGTGGGACTTCCAGATGGATGAAGGGGACAGACCTACCCAGAATTATATCTGATCTGAATGTAGCATGGTGGGAGCAATATACATATAGAGCTTGTTTTTTTCCTCTCTGGGTTTTCTTTTTAAGACCATGACTGAGTTGGCAAGGAATTTGAAATCTTGCTGTATCTGTGCGGGGCCTTAGCAAATTCCTGGGGAGGCCACTGGCAGCCAAACCAGAGCTACTGGACAGAGTCCAGTGTTTAATGGGAGGAACATTCTAGAACCAGGGCTCTGTGCTAAGATGTTTTAGCAAAACATCCCTTGCCCTGAACCCCGAAGGACATTGGTAGTATGCATCATTGTAGTAGGACTTGATCCGGTTCCCCAAATATTTCTGTGCATGCAATCCACAGGAACACCTTAAAACTGCTATTAAAAAAAAAAAAAAACAACAAAAACAAGGGAACCACTGTCCTAGCTTTCCAGGCTCAGATGCAAGGGCCTGAGACCACTGAGGCATGGCTGTTTAACCCCTGTCTTACAGGTATCAGCGTGGCCCGAGTGCAAGCACAGGTGACCTTCACAGAAACAGATCTGGCACACCTGTGACATTTACACAGCACATCCAAGACATTCACTCCGAACCTCTCTTCCGAAAAGACTTGAAGCCAGTCACCCCTCTTCTTCATGGGCCTAGGGTCTCGGCCTTGGTGGCACCTGGTCATAGACCCCGTACTCCCAGATACTATCTCATTAATGAACGTGCCCCTCACCAAAAACCCCATCCAACTTTTTGGCCAGAAAGACATTTCAAGATAGATGCTTCAGGTGACTTTGTAGAGGTGTACCCCAGAAACATACAACAATGCATGTCCTGGGCCCCCCACCAGTCTCCTTCTCCACTGTTGAGTGAGGAAGAGGGGGAGATGCTTGGGAGAGATTTGGTCCAGTGGTCATTCCCCTCTCGCTCCCTGATAGACCTCCCTCGGGCTCCTCATTTTTATATTGGTGAAAAGTCAGGTAGTGACATCTTCCCTGAGCACCAGGAAAGTATGTATTACAGGTCTGGGAAAGATGACTTTGTAGGTCAACGTGACGGGTCCAGGTTTATGCACAAAAAGCCACGTTCCCGAAACTTCCAATACCCACCTCATCTTGTGAAGCCCAGAATCAAGGCCAACTTAGAGCCATCCTTCACAGAATCTGATTCCATGTCAGCAGCATCCAGCAGTGACCAGCAGAACAGCAGCACTGACCAGTTCCTGCAAACCATCCATAACCAGGGAAAGTTCCCAAGACCTGCTGGTCAACTCAGCAGGAAGAAAGCCAAGTCCAGGCAAGCACTGACGGCCGATCTGAATGACCTGATTTGTTCAAATGTCTAGGCTTCCTCCAGCGTCTGGCTCATAGGATAGGCCTCTTTTGTAGCACCAGGCCAGCGTATGGTCTCACCCCTTCTGGAAAGGAAGAGGAGCATGTCTTCTGGTGGTGTTAAAGGTCTGGGAAGCACATCCCATTAGCTGCTGGTCAAGGTCCTGGGACTCTCAAGGTTGTGACTTCCTGTTCCATAGCCACCACACAGTAGTGGGTCATTTCCAGGGGTCATTTCCTTTGATACAGATATCAAATTAGTATATCAGTCATCATTTCAAGAACACTTTAGTCCTTTACTTCTGCTTAGAGTGACCACAAATCCTAGGCCAGCCGGACAACGAGAATCTCCACTTAGATTGGCGTGGTGATCTTCGACATGAGTGAGCTGTTTGCATTGCGATACTGTCTCTTAAGGTACAAATATCAATGCCTCCTAATAAACACCCAGAAACTGACTTCCCTGAAGGGTTTCCCAATGCTTAGTTTGTAGGAATAACCAGGGTAGTAATGATAAGTGTAACAGATTTGTCAAGAGCTTCTTGTACTCGGTGGACTGAGCTATATGTCTGTATTAATTAGTCAGGGCACCTGGACTGCACAGAATCCCAGGTTTACCCTCGAGACTCATGGGTCCACTTAACTGGGAAGGATGGGGATGAAGGCTTAGTAAGAAGCTCAGTTGGAACCAGGGCATCAAGCGCTGTCTTTCACGTTTGAAAGGACCACCTGTCTTTCACCTCTCTGCTCCGTTTCTAGGTTTGTTAAATCTGTTTTCTCCAGCAGGCTTCCTCTGGGCAATCAGTGGAGGACGAATGCATGGCCCCACAAGTGCCAGGCCTGCAGCCTCAGCCAACCAGCCCAGAGGATAGAGCAGAGCTGCCCCCACACCTCACATTATCTTTGCCTTGGTGGCAGGTCCCCATCCGGTCCCCTGACTGGCCCTACTCAGGGCTTGTGTATTCATCAGTCCACCACAGTCACCAGGATTGTGCCTGATTCAGATTTCCATAACAGTTTTCACTCTGATTCGCATGTTTTTAACATCTCTGTATCCTCCACCATTCTCTGAGTGCCTTTGGAACAAAAATGGTGTTTCATTATTCTGCATCCCCAGTGCACAATGGATAGTGTATTTGTTTTCTGTTGCTACTATTAATCAAAATAACAAGGGTGACTTTCCAAAGGTGAAATCCCTCAGAATTAGCTTGCACTGTAATAGGAATACCAATGACGTGATGAGCTACGAGCATAGTCAAAGAGTTTGAGGTTTTCAGATCAAGGTTAGGATTGCATAAGCTGTTTGAATCAGCTCTCCTTGGCCATAAAGATCAAGGGTGACAGAAACCCAAGATTGGATAGGCTATTGCGGGCAGGTGTCTTTGCCAAATTACTGTCTGTGTAGGAGTGTGGTAGCCTTTGTACAAGGATATGGTATTTGTGATAGTTCTTGTCTCAGGCATATGACGAAATTCCTACTTTGCAACCTCCCAGCTTTTCGTTTCTTTCTTTTTGAGGCTCGATACAAGCGACTTCATTTTGGTTCTGACGACTTTCACCCAGCAACAACAAATCAAGGTTCCAGGCTCTCTTTCAAGCTCATGTGATTCTTGGCCAAATTCCTTTTTCTCCAGGTTCTAGGACAGAAACCCCTCTCGGAACTGCCCATATTTCCCTGCCAACTGTCCCTCGCCACCACATCTTCACTGCTGGCTGAGCGTGCCTCTCAGGTTCCAGTCTCTTTCCAGAGAAAGCCAGAACTCTCTTTTAAAAAGGGCTCACTGCCAGGTGCTGGTGGCTCACGCCTGTAATCCTAGCTACTTGGGAGGCTGAGATCAGGAGGATCAGGGTTCAGGGCCAGCATGGAAAAGTCAAGAGACCCCCATCTCCAAATTAACCAGAGCAAAATGGACTGAAGTGTGGCTTCAGTGGTACAGCACCTGCTCTGCAAGTGCGAGGCCCTGAGTTCAAAACCCAGTTCCACCAAAAAATAAAAATAAATAAATAGAAAGTGTTCACCTGAGTATGCCAGACCCACCCAGCAGGTTCTCCCTTGAATATGAAACATCGAGACCTGTTGAAGTCACCTTAAGAAGGGGAATGGGGGAGGAGGGAGAATAAAAGGAGGGGATGAACCAATTCAGGATGTAAAACATGTACATATGGAAACGTCACAATGAAACCCCCAGTATAATGATTATATACTAACAAAAGTGTTTTTTTTTTTTTAATGAAGAACAGAAAGGCAAAACAAGCTGTGGCTGGGGAGGAGGAAGCATAAGGAAAGGGTAATGGAGAGCAAATATGGTGGATGTATTTGTATTCATGTACGAATATAGAACAATGAACTCTGTTGAAATTGTTCTATGAAGGTGGAAGAAATGAGGGAGAATGATGGAGGGGTGAATCTAACTAAGACATATTGTAATCACATATGTAAATGTCACAATGTATCCCCCGGTGCAACTATTATATGCTAATACAAATATTTTTAAAAAATAAGAATTTAAAAAAACAAAAAGAAAAAAAAAATAAGAATTTGACTGGGCAGGAGCCTTAATCGCATCATCAAGAGCACTTCACCTGTACTCTGTAACATAACCTGGCTTTGGGGGTGAAATCTTACTGAATTCACAAGCACAACATGCCAAAAAGGGGGATTACACAGGGCAGGAATCCCAGGAGGCAAGAATCCTGGAAGCCTCCTGCAGATACTTCAGAGCTATCATTTAGTTAATGGTGGATGAATGCATGAATGAATCAAAATGACACAGGCACTGGATTAGAAGCCATGATTTGCTACTGATTCTAACCAGAATGAAGACTTTCACAAAAATATTGACATTTATAAAGTGTTCTGGGTGTGATGGTTCACACCTGTAATCCCAGTACCAGGGAGGCTGAGGCAGGAGGACTGTGAGTTCAAGACCAGCCCAGGCTACATAGCAAGACCCTAACTCAAAAAAAACCCCAAAAATTAAATAAGCAAACAAACAATACATAAACAAATAGCACCCACAGATGAATACTTCCCACCTGAAGTCATGACAAGGAGCGCGCATCTTCAAATGTCCTGCCATGGTGGCTCAAGGAGGTGGCAGGCCTACTCAAGACAGTGTTATACAAAGCCACGGGGATGTCCTTTTGTGACAGAGATGCCCACAGGGCTGAGGTCTAGAGCTTCCTGAGACATGGAAACTCCTTGGGAGAGCCTGGCCCTGTCTCCAGGCACCTGTAGGAGCACCTGCCTGTGTGGGGATGGGAGGACAGAGGACAAGCAGGCCCCGGGGTAGTCTAGGAAAACGAGAGCAGCCAACGCACAGGGCTGCAAGTGTATCACTGTTCAGAGCATATACGCCCTGGTACAGAGCACGGAGCATTGGCTCCTGTTGTTAATTTAGAGAAATTTGAAAGACACCCAAGAACGCAAAAATTAATGTGGTGAACACCCACTGTAGCGTCAACAACTGCTGAAAATTTATTTTCTTTCCATTGAGCCATCTTATTTTGATTAATAATAAAGAAAGCATTGCAGACATAATGAATGTCCGCCCCGATCTCCTCCCCTGACACTGTGAAGAGTCCGGTGTACAACCACTCAGGAGATGGCTTATACACAGGTATTGTGTGTATGTGTGACTATGTGTGTACGAGCATCCATGAGCAATATCTAGATCTGTTTTACATAGGTAAATGCTGTTGTCCTGCATGTATCATTCTACACAGTTATGCTTGAGGTCTATCAAGTGTTCACAACAGCCAAGCTCTGGAAAGAACCCAGTGCCCCACAACTGATGAATGGATCAAGAAACTGTGGTCTATGTACACAATGGAGTTTTACTCAGCCATGGGGTTGGAAGAAAATGGATGCAATTGCAGGACATCACGTTAAATGTAGGATCAGAAACACAAATGTTTTCTCTCAGACACAGAAGATAGATCCAAAGATAAACATATACACAAATAGCAGCACGATCACACACAAACTCAGAGGTAGAACGTGTTGGTGACAGTGGAATTTCTCTATGGAACTTGGGGAAGAGGGAAAGGAAGAGAGAATGATAGGGCATCAACAATATCATAAAACATAACATCTGTGAAGGGAGAGGACACAAGGATGTGTACTGAAAGCTGTTGCAGAATGGGGTGGGAGGTAAAGGGGTGAGGAGAGAAATGGAAAGGGTCGAATGGACCAAAGTAAAGTAGACTCACAGCGGGTACACTGAGAACTACTCTGAACATCAATTTAAATGTTAATAATGAGACAGGACTGTAAAACAGGTACAAAATGTCTTTGCTCATTTTTCTGTTGTCAGCCAGCATCATCACTGTGAACTCCGTGTGGAGGGGTACTTGGTGGGCGGGGCGGGGGAGTGAATGAAGGAGATTAAGGTGAGGTTATATGGTGGATGGACTTCATATGCTTACATGAAACAGAACAGAGAAATCTCTTGCAATTGCTTTAAGTGAGGCGGATGGGGTTAAGGGGGGAAGAGATTGTGGGGGTGATTTAGCCAATGGACGATACAAGCTTATTTGGAATTGTCACTATGAATCGTCCTAATTAAAAAAAAATCAATACTGTACTAAATGCCTTTTATATGTTTACTTTTTAGTGAATGTGAGTCTTCCTGGAGGAGAAATCCCAGCCTATCGCAGCCATGCAAACTCAGTTTCCCTGCTCGCTCCCTCACTCATCTCCACAGTCCTGAACTGGCATCCACCACCTCAGCCACAGATGAAAGAGCTGATTTCCTGACAGCATGCCCAAACTCAGTCTTGTCACTCTATAATCCTTGCCAATTTGATGAGAAACTGTGCCAAGGAATTTTAACTAGCTTGCTTTTCTTATCGTTAGTGTCTTTCCTAGAGTGGATTGTCCCTTTGCATTTTCTCTTTGGGAATTGTTACCTGTTCAAATGTCTTTGCTCATTTTCTGTTGTCAGCCAGCATCATCACTGTGAACTCCGTCCCATAGAGCTCTGGCCAAAGGTACAATTGCTAATCAGCCACCTCCCTCCATCCCCTAATTCCACCCTTTCCTAAGTCAGGGCAGTAGAAAGCTGCAAACCTGTATTGCCAAGGTGTTTTACACAACGGTGGTTTCACAAATATCCTTTGTATTTTAGCAATGGTCTGCACCTAGGGAGAAAGTAGGCTGTTTTTCCTGTTTTTCTTTTTGGAGGTTCTGGGATTTGAACTCAGGACTTTGCATTCACAAGGCAGGTGCTGCATCACTTGAGCCACACTGCCAGCCCTGGAGGTAGTCTTTTCTGCCCTTCAATCAAACAATTATTGAGGACATGATCCACAGTGCTATAAACTATCTGTCCTAGCCAGACACTGTTGCTCAAACCTATAATCCTAGCCACTTGGGAGGCTGAGATGGGCAGATGTGTAGTTCGAGGCCAGCCATGGTAAACAGTTCACGAGACCCCATCTCCAAAATAACCAGAGCAAAATGGACTGGAGATGTGGTTCAAATGGTACAGGGCGTGCTTTGCACACATGAAGCCTTGAGTTTAAACCCCAGTCCCCCTTTAAAAAAACAAATCTGTCTTAAAAACATCTATGTAATCAGCTCCTCTCAAATCCCAGAGATCAGAACAGTTTTACCCACTGAAGACAGAAAAAGACAGTCTGGTAAGCATCTTAGAACCTATAACGCCCCTGTTGGTCACTCCTTGTGTTCAGAATTTGTGAATATCAGGAAATTTGGAGAACTGCTTTGTGCACAGCTCTAAAAACCTGCTCCTCCAGCCTAAGGTAGTATTTTCCAGCTACTCAGTATGGGGGTGGGGTGTACAAGATTTCCTCCATTTTGGGGTTTGCTAGTAGCTGTTTTCTTTTATGTTTGCACATTTCGTGATAAACATGTAGCAAGCGGGAGATGGTGAACACAGGGGTCAGTGTGGCCTTTGGAAATAGAATCTGGGTGTTTGCCCACAAAGTCTGCCACCTACCAGCTTTGTGACATAAAAGCCTCAGTTTCTTAACCGGCAAAATGCGCATGGTGGTCTCTACCTCATAGCCATGAGGGTTAAACAGTGGGACATGGGCTGTGTAGGACAGTGACTGGCCAGTAGTGACCAGTAACGATTATCTGAGTTAAGCGAATAATAAACCTGTGCTTATCTACCCACCTAGGGTCGCACAGCACTTTCCTGAGCTGACTTAGTAAGTATGCCACTGACGTCCCTCACTGATGTCCCTTTTTGAAATTCTCCCAGGACTTCCGGAGGTTCTGCTGTGGGCTCCTGGATGACTGAAGGGTCTCCAGTCCTTATGGGAGCAGTGATGATGGAGTCTACAGAGCTCAGTCCCCTCTTTCCTCTCAGCTCCCAACTCCAACCCCAAGAAGACTGCAAAACAGATGGCTTCCAGGCTCCCATGAGCTGCTGTGTGGGCAGTGTCCAGGCCCCCTGGGCTCCAGCAGCTGCTCCTCTGCCCTGTGCTGCCCAAGGTGGCAAAATACACCAGCCACCAGCTCCCAGGCTGCCCTCACCTCACCAGTCTCCTGCTGCTAGTTTGTCACAGACCTCAGAGACAAACAGTTTGCTTCTCCAAATATTTGGTTTACCCAGGACTTCCCATTTGGGGGAGCAAAGATTAAAGATTCTCATAAAACTAAAAAAAAAAAAAAAAGATCAAAACCTGTTTTCCATGCTTTTTTTCTTCTTGTTCTCCTTCCCCTTCACCACCTTCCCCTTCCACTCTCCTCCTCCTCCTCCTCCTTCTTCTTGTAGTACTGAGGCCCTGGTCAGATGCTCTATCACTTCCACTTCAGCCATACCTCCTGCCCTTTTTTCTTCAGTTTTTTTCCCCCTCAGGTCATCCTAAACCTCAATCTTCCTACATATTCCTCCACATACCTGGGATTACAGCCTTATATCATTGTGCCCAACTCGTTTTCTTGAGATTGGGTCTCAATTTTTGGCCCAGGTTGTGCTGGAATTGTGATCCTCCCAATCACACAGATCTATTCTGTTTTGATAAGTGTGATTATCTCTTCAGTGTCTGATGTCTAACAAAGTCACTTTCTGTACCACGAGTCACTTTCCTAGCTGGCGGTGTAGCTCAGGGAAGGCACTTGCTGGCATGTGTGAGGCCCTGTGTCAACTTGGCTAGTCTTATTATTTATTTCACTTTCCAAAGGAGAATGCTGAGATCTGGAATGGTTAATTGCTTGCCAAGGTCACATCTAATAAGTGATGCTGCTGGGATTTGAACTCAGACAATGTGACTTCAGCACCGACTCTCTTTATTTTTAAATTTTCTTCCAGTGCTGGGGATGGAACCCAGAACCTTTCACACACTAGACAAGTGCTGTACCAGCAGGCTGCTCCCCTATCCCGAATACTGGCTTTCCTATCCACAGTGCTGTTACCCTTCGTTTTGTATTTTTTTGACTTATGTAGGTAATGTAATAGACGAATATCTTTCTTTATTGGTTCATATATAAAAATTATGGGAGAAGGATAAGAATTTAATTATATTCAGTTAAGGTTTAACTGTCCTTTAGAGAGAGTGAATGGAAGGGAGCCTTCTACCAGACACCTGTGCCTCCGCTTTGTTGTGCAATCCCCGCCAGCTCCAGCCTCACCACTGCTACATTATCCTAATCGTTACATAATATCCCACACAACTTACTGACTATATTGACAAACAGTTAGGTTGCTTGGAGTTGCGAGATCAGTGTTATCTTTGTGCAGGAGGAGTTGCTGGGTCAAAGAACAAGTAAGGTAAAATGCTAATATTTGTTATTGTTTTGTTCCCAGATGGTTGTATGCACTTGTGCTCTCTCTTCTGCTGCATATAAAAACAATTTATCCATATTCATATTCTCCTGGCCACGGGACAATAAATAAACCTGTTCATATTTGTCCATCAGGTAGGACCTGGTTAGATACTTTGCCACAAAGTATCTAACCAGTTCTGATTGCAATTTTTTTAATGACTAAATGTCATTTGTACAATCCAAAAACTTAGGGTTAATTAAAATGCATCCCAACTTTTTCTTGGATTATTGTCTAACGTTTTGTGATATTTTGATGGGCTTTTTTTTTTTTTAATGTGGCTAACATCACTTATTTATGGCTTCTAAGAAAATTCTCAGGCTCTTCACAGTACCGCAGGCAGCTATTTATCATCTTCTTGAAGCACACTGAGGATCAAAGAACTCCACGACCAATATGGAAGACGTGGGGTCTAGACCTGGAAGCTCACATCTTCCCAGAGGGACTGTCAGGTCCTCATATTACTTACACCACTTTCATTCAAAGCTTTAAAAGAAACAATGAGCACAAAAAAAAGAAGAAGAAGAAGAAAGAAAGAAAGCGAGCATGAACAGACCTCAGCATTGACCTTCAGTTGGGGTTAGCCCCAGGAGGAGGAAACCTTGGCTGCCCTTCCGGTTCTAGTGGAGAAGGGGAGGACTGCCCTGGCCAGGCCACCTGGCTGCAGAGATCTCCTGGATAAGATCTCCTGTGGAAAGTCAGGGCCAGGTGCCAGGGTGACCATATCGCCTGGGGCACCGATTACTAAAATAGGTGCAGAACTGAGCTCATCTTGCACCACCACCCCCACTCCCTGCCAAGCCTGTCTCTCCCCCAGCTTAACTAAAACACCATCCAAGCCAAAAAGCTGGAACTAGGCTGCGTCCTCCTCCTTCAGCCCTCACATTCCAGCTCCTGCACCCTAAGTCTGGTCCTTCTCCCGCCACCCACTTACTCCCTCCTGCACAGGGACCTCGGGTCTGCAGGGGGGCCCTCTGCAGCAGCTCCCTAGTTGCCCAAAGCCTCTGTGCAAGCAGGACAAAAGCCCCAGCGACTTGTGCAAGCCTGCGACACCATGCACGACATGGTCCGGCCCTTTCGGCCCAGGTCACCGGCTCTCTTCTGGTCAGTGCACTCCAGGGCCCACGCCAAAGCCCGCCAGGCACGGGGCGGAGCCTGCAGCCCCGCCCAGGCAGTGACGCAGGTTCGGGGCGTGACCTATCCAGGACGGGGCGGGGCCCGTCTGAGAGCACGGACCAATCCTGGAGAGGTGGGGCGTGGCTTCGCCCTCCGCCTTGGGCCCGGGCTTTCCGGCCTTCCAGGTTCCCTGCAGTCGGCCACAGCGCGCGCGCCCCGCAGCCCCGGTGCAATGGACCCCGCGCAGGCTGCGGAGATGGGCGAGGCGGTGGCGGAGAAGATGCTCCGGTACCGGCGGGACACGTCGGGCTGGAAGATCTTCCGGGAAACCGTGAGTGAGGAGCCCTTGGGCGGGAAGGGGTCGTGCAGGTTCTGCCCCCTGGGACCTGGGTCCCCAAAAGTCCCCAGACTTCTCTCCCTGTGGCTCTCTGCACCCCAAGTCCCCGGAGCTGGAATGAGAGCCAGCCCATTGGGGTCGTTTCCTTAATAAACGCTGGATCTGTTGTGCTCACAGTGACTAAGTCCCCTTAGTGACTTACCCAGGGGCACTGGCCAGTAAATGGTTAGGATTGGGACCGGACACTTCAGGTTCCAACCCTTTGCCTTGTTCTTGACATCTCCAGCTCTCCCTTAGTTGTCCCAGTGCATAGATTTCCTAACTGGACCCTTCTGATTTTTAACAAACAGCCCTAAAATGCTTTGAAGGTGATTTGAGAAGCACTCACAGCTCTTGGCCACAGCCAGTCAAGATCTCTTTCCCTGTCACCTGCCGTAGGGACAGCTAGGTGACAGGTACAGGTTGGGATGCATTTTGAGGTCTCTGAACTCTCTTTTCCACAGCACAAGGGAATGGGCCAGGTGTTTGCCCAGAGCCCTTCTAGCTCTAAAATTCTGTGATTCTGTGCCTTTTGACAGAATGGAGTTTCCGTTTCCTGGAGGCCATCTGTGGAGTTTGCAGGGAATCTGTAAGTGCATGCCTTGTTCAAAGACTGTCAGATGCCTCGCCCTTCCTGGTGCCGCTGTGGGTTTTCTCCTTACTAGATTCTAATCGACCCTGGACCCCTGTGATCAACACATCAATTATCTTCCAGAACAGCTTCTGTTTTTAACTAAATCATTTCCAGCAAGCCACATTTGTTTTGAAAGTTTAACTGTCTGAGCCTGCAGTTTGGAGGGGATATGGGCTAGTACATTTCAGCCCCTTCTCTGCCAGCCAGTCCTAAAGAGTTGTGACAGACTTGGAACTGACATCCACCATCTGCTTGTCAGTAGAATCCCAAATAAGCAAGAGCTTAATTGATGCCTGGGGGTCAAATTCCCTTTGTGCTGCAGGTACCGAGGAGAAGGGGTTCTGTGTGGGACACCAGAGCAGGTGTGGAATTGCGTCAAACCAGCGGCTGGGGGCCTGCGGGTGAAGTGGGATGAGAACGTGACGGATTTTGAAGTTATCCAGGCCTTCACAGATGTAAGTTCTCCCAAACGTTATTGGCAGATGTGTCTGGGCCCTGCTGCAGTAACCTGACCCTGTCGCCCCTGGAGGGGGTCTGTGACATCTGTTGGCAAAAGGGGTTCTCTGCACACCCATGCTGCCCACTGCTCCCCATAGCTTTGGCCTCAGGAAGCAGTGTGACTCAGAGAGAAGCCAAGGAAACAGGGATGGCAGTGGTGGTGAGGAAGTGCAGAGTGAGCCTGGGCTCTGGGGATACTGAGGCAGAGCCTGGCTTTGGAGAAATGTGAATTCATGAGAATGAAGAGGAGAATCCTGGCCGAAGACTCAGAGTTCTCTGCCCTCAGGGGGCTGAGCAGGTGGCAGCTTCTAGCTCCTTTGATCAAATATGTGCCATTTGTACCATGAGCCCTGTGCAGCAGGACTTTCTGCAGAATGGAACTGGCCTGTAACTACTTTGTCCAGTATGGTAGCCATGAGTCCCAGAAGGCAGCCAGCAGGAGGAAATGAATTATTTCATTTAATAGTAACTAATCCAAGTACAAACTGAAATAGTCACACGGAGCTAGTGACTTCCACTGCCGACAGTTTGGAAATTAATGATGGTGCCCTGGGATCCTCTGTAACTTCAAGATCCAGCCTCATTTTGATTACAGAAGTTCAGAAAGAAAGAAAAAAAAGGCATAGCCAACTAGTAAGTGAGCTTTCTGCTGTGGGAAGAAGTGTTGCTTACTGAACTGTCCAATTTGACTTGTGCTTGATTTGGATGTCTATGGCCTGGCATCTTCCTGGATGTTTTTACAGGTGTTTGTGAAACCCCAAGCAGGAGTTCCCAGCTGGCGAGTCTGTGAGGGCCAGGTGTCCTTAGCCCTGACCCCAAATTCACATTTCAGCTCATTCTTCAGTCTATCACAAGAGTTTATGTCTGTGTTTCCTGAAGGATGGGGCCCAGATCCCTGGGTATAAAAGGTGATTTTAGATCCTTATCATCAAAGCTGAAATGGAATCACATTTCATTGCCCTGTTTAATCATTTCTTGATCTCTCTGATAGCTGAGGGGAGAGTCTCAGTGGGGGAGGAGGAAGGGGGGGGGTGAGGAAGAGGAAAGAAAGGAAGGAAGAGACAGAAAGAGAAAGAATTTGGTAATCCCATATATATATATATATATATATATATATATATATATTTTTTTTTTTTTTTTAGTTCCTCTTATTTTATGGCAAATGATTCTTTTTTTTATATTTCCAATGAATACTTTCCTTTTAAAAACCAACTGACCTAAGTCCTAAAAAGCACATTTAGGGAATATTATTAAGTGAATAACAGTGAGATCAGAGATAGCAAAAAGAAAAAATTAACATAGTATACAAATAATTGTGCCCCAGTGGTTGAAAGTGAGGAAACTTCTGTTAATGCTCTTTGTAGAATTTTTAATACAAATGTATTTTAAAATTTTTAATGCAAATGTAACAACAGAGGGGCCTTGCATAGAGTTTTCCTCCTGTAGGAAGAAGCGGCTGATCTTTTTAGCATGTCTGCACATCTTTGTCTTGATACAATGGCTGGGAAGAATGAGAGAATTAAAGACCTAGGAAATTACAGGGTGGTGCCTGCTCTGCCATGAGAATCATCAAATAATGAATGCTGTCACTTATTGGATCCTTTTATGCTATGCTACATGCTCAGAGCACTTAAACTTGATCCCCGGGGGAAGGAAACGGTCTGACAGCGGTCAAGAGAAGTACTCAAGTTCACACAGAACCTCTTTCTAAACCCCTGCGTCAGCCCAGCCCCGGCTCTTGTCCTGGTGACCTGATCCCTGGGAGGCCAGGTGAGGGTTGTGCTGTCCTTATTGCTATTTTGTAACCAGTGAGGGTTCTGCTGTCCTCATTGCTACTTTGTAACCACCTTCCCATCTGCCAGGTAGCCAGGTGCTTACCTGTGCTGAAATCTACATTGCTCTTGCCTTCCTGGTCAGCCCACAGGAGTGAGCGGGTGATCCTGCTCCTCTGGGTACCCGCCTTTGACCCTGGGCATGGTTGCTTCCCTGTGCAGGCTGCTGCTCCGGGTGACAGGGGACCCTCCGTCCCTGCCACTTTCCTGAAGATGGGGACAGTATTGATCCACAGCAGTCCCATATACCTTAGTCCTCCGGTACAAGGGTCTCCCAATGTTTGCCTTAATGCCTTGGAGAGATTTCTGCAAAGCTCTGCATTATCCTCACACATCTAGTCGACATCTAAATTTCCATGGCATTTTTGACAGTTAATGTTTTTCAGTTTTAGCAAAACACAGCAATAAGAGCATTCCTTTAATTATGTAAATAACATGAATTTGAGGTTGGTAGAATGGCTCAAGTGGAAGAGCACGTGCCTAGCAAGCATGAGGCCCTGAGTGCAAACCCCAGTGCTGCCCCAAAATAAATAAGTAAATAAGCATGAACTTGTACTTAGTATCACCTATTTTTAAAATACACCAGCAAATTTTTCTTAAGTAGAAATTGTATATATAATCATTTTCCCTGAACTCAAATCTCTACTCTGCACAGCCCCCTAAATTTTATCCCAACACAAGGCACATTTGTTCTTGGAAGACATCATCTTTTGTCATAGATGTTTTTGAATATGGAAATTAGTTTTTAAGAAATCGTCTATCTCCTTTGACCCTAAGATTGTTTTTAAAAGTCTAGGTTGAGGTATGAGCGTTATTTATTGCAATGGCATGATTGAATTAGAAATTTTGATGAGGAATTATAAAACATGGAGATATTTTGCATCTGTGCATGGGATGGATAGGATCTTTTTGTTCTAATGCATCCACCTGCCGGTGAAAACATCTTGCCAGGAAGCTGCAGCCTATCAGTGGACACTAACAGCAGAAAGGAGGGAGGCTCGGGCTGCTGGTGAGCTCGGGCTCCCCAAAAAGCAACAGACAAGTGAGAGCCCTTAATCGTTTAGTGAAAACACAGAGAAAAGGCCTTTCCTTGCAGGCTGGCATTTCTCAGCATGATTTGGGCAAAGCTCAGATATTCTAATTCTTCAATAAATAGATGATAGGTGAATGGATGGGTGAGAGAGTCATGTCTTGAATTTGTTGCACTTATGACATTTGCCTGGTGTTACTGTCTTGGACTTTTTCTTTTTGGTTGAATTTGGGGAGCTGGACTGGGGTTTGAACTCAAGGCTTCATGTTTACAAAGCAGGTGCTCTACTGCTTGAGCCATACCTCCAGTCCATTTTGCTGGAGATGGGGTCTCATCAACTCTCTGCCCAGGGTGGTCTGGAACTGGGATGCTCTGATCTCAGTCTCCCGAGTAGCTACAGTTCCATGCATGGGCCACCAGTGCCTGGCCCACCATGGACTCTTTATCCTGGTTTCCTAACACCACACCTTAGGAATGATGCCTTTGGGGGCAGTAATTAGGGTGGGAGCAGTATGGCTATTGAAAACAAATTCATTACTTCTGCCAGTTCTACTACAAAACATCACAATTCACAAATGGCTAAACTGCCCGGTTTCTAACACCAAACTTGAGCATATGCTTAAGAAGGGGGGAAAAAAGGAATTCCGACCCCAGTGTACAGAACCTTGACTAAGTAGACTAAATATTGCAGTCAGTATTTCTGGTAGTCTTTGGTACCCTGGGGGTTTTGTACCCAGGACAATTCATGATTGGCTCATTCTGGACGGGTGGGGGAAGAATGCCATATGCAGGACCCTGGTCCCCGAAGATCACTTTAGGAAGGACACATGGAGGTGGAGCCATCTGGAATTGGTTCCCATTGTACCCATGGGAAAGTACTCAAGGGCTGGGACTTCCCTGTGGGCCCTTCTGCTCACAGCAACCCCAATGTCAATCCCTCCCATCCTGTCAGCCCTGGGGAGTGGGGCAAGGCAGGGAGACGCTGTCTGGACATTAGACACCATTGCTTTGACAGACATTGTGTGTAAGCAGAACTTCCACCCCTTCGGCTGCCATGAAGCTTATTTCTCCCAGGGACTTTGTAGACTTGGTGCTAATCAAGAAGTATGAAGATGGAGCCATCACCTCCAACGGTGAGTGACAACAGGTGTCCCTGTCCTCCATGCCCTTCAGATCCCCTGGGAAGCTGAGCAGCTGGAAACCACCAGAGAACTCACACCCTGGTCTGTCTCGTTTATGGGGTTTGAGGAGATTCTGTGCCATTGGTCTGAGGCGAGAGTCCACCTGCCAGTGACTTTATTTTTAAATCCCAGACTTTGTCCAGCCTCTACGTTATTCTTGCCAACACTCAGTTTGTTTGGTTGTTATTTTTACTTTTATGTGCATTTGTTTTATGCTGAATTTATTCCCATGTCATAACTGGGATATCTTTTTCTTCTATGCAACCTCCTCTTCTAGTTTAGGAACAATTTGTTCCTTCTCAGAAAGGATCCTTTCAGTGTGACACGAGAGCTCATTGTACAGGTGAACCAGCCATGAGCTCTGTGAGTACAGTGGAGCATTTTGGGTGCTTTGTTCATCTGGATATGTTTGATGGCCAGAGAATCTACATCTAAATCCTTCAGTTCAAAACTGCGTTCTGCATTTTTAAGCATGTGCACAAAAATTCAACACTCTTTTTGGGCCACCAACCCTGTGTTCCAGCCCCACTGTGTGACCTGGGCACACTGACCAACTCCACCATGGTAACACTGGAGTGGCACACACTGCTCCTTCTAAGTGACATCTGTCAGATACTTGCTGGCTTTTTGAATATGCATATCTTCAATGACCTGGGCTGTCTCTTAAGTGTTCTTAAAGTGAACCCTAAGATATGAAGCTCTTTACTTGCATGATTTTGTGCGGGTTTTCAAGGTCAAGGGTGTAGCAGAACCATTTTCACAGGTTGGGTTTGAGGGGATTCTGGGCCATCGGTCTAAGGTGAGAGTCCACCTGCCATTGACTATATTATTTTTAAGTCTCAGATTTTGTTGGCACCTCATTTATTCCTGCCAAGACTCAGTTTATGCCATGGACATGCAGGTTACAATTGGCTGTCACACAGTCTCCATGGGCAGGGGTTCCCTAAGTCTGTGGGGGAAAGTCCTGACAGGGCTGGATGCTGCCCAGAGGGGAGCAAAGCAGCTGCTCCTGTCAGTCTGTCTGGGGACATAGTGACATGGAGGGAAACTGGACACACAACCACCTCTGTGGGCTGAGATTGGAGAGCCTCCCTCCCTCAACCCCCACCCCAGACCTTTCGTTCTAGAATAGTCTTTCCTCTAATATAACTACAGGCTTGGGGAAGCTGTGTGGGTGGATTGTACGTGTGTGAGTGTGTGCGTCTGTGAACTTGAGTGAGTGGCAATCTCTGGCTGAGTCTCTGAGCTCCAGGTGACTGGGTCTGCGTGCACTGTCTCACGGCAGTGGTGCTGGCCTGACTGAAGCTGTGGCTCACTGATTACCCATCTGTCTTCCAGCTACCCACGTGGAACATCCCTTGTGTCCTCCGAAGCCCGGTTTTGTGAGAGGATTCAACCATCCATGTGGTTGCTTCTGTGAGCCTCAGCCAGGGTAAGGACAGAGCCCTGAATGGTGGGACCGACTGTGGCTGCACTGAGGACTCTAGAAAGGGCACTTTGACTGCTATCTGCAAGAACCAAGCAGCTTTAAGCTATTTAGGCCTCGCTGTTATAAAACACTGCTGCAGACAGACAGGTCCCTGACATAATCGGCCAGAGGGCCTGTGCATGGGGAAGAGATGGCGGGGAGGGGGTAGGGGGCAGGGCAGCTTTGCCCGGGAACTAGTTTGGCGCAGGGAATCTTCTCTCTGCCCTGTCAGGCAGGTTAGGCAAGCATTGTGGTTCCAGTTAGATAGAAAACTGAGACTTAGGGTGGTTAGGCGATGTATCCATGATTGAAGGCTGGGAGGTCGGCCATGCTGGGTCCAAGCTTCTGTCCTCCATACTCTCTGGGCAAATGCCAGGCTGGAGTAGCCATGAGGATCTGTCTGTGTGTTTCACAGTGACTGTCCCTCAGCAAGGAGTGGGGCAGGGGAGCTCGAGTTCAAGGGCAGTTACAGAGACAGCACAGGGAGTCAGCCTCAGAGCTGAGCTCAGGAGTCCTCTCTTTTCCCTCCCCATCACTCACAGGCCCTGGTCAGGGTCACCAGGAGCTTTCCAAATTCACTAGTTCTTCCTGGGAACCCTCCAGGTTGATAGTGAAAGCCATTGCACCTGCCGGCATCCCAGTGCTTCCTGAAGACCCTGGGAGGGAACAGCTCGTTCTTTCCCCACACAGTCCCCAGACATAGGTCTTGGTGCCAGGATTTTACAAAAAACCACACCAAGCACTATGGGCATAACATTGTTTGCTGAGCTGGGTTTCAGACATCTTCTGAGAAACTTTGCCCAAATGTAGTGTAGTTATGAGTTTGAGAATAACACAGGCTTCAGTACACACACACACACACACACACACACACACACACACACACGGCTTCCATTCCCCCGGTACACAGAGGCCCCAGAACCGGCCACCTGGGCCAAAGGCACCACCTCTGCCTCATTTCCTTGTCCCCCACCTGGCAGTCAGGTGCTGGAGAGGAATTTTCAGAATGAGCGCAGAACCCTTTCTCCTGGGGGCTGAGTCCCAGCCTGAATTCTTTTGGGTGCACACGGTGTGAGGAGCCTTGTGTGCTGTCAAAGGTGATGGACCAGGTTCTGCAGGTGGGCTGATTGGGACTGGGAACACCACAGAACCAGCTCACACGCAGGTCTTATTCCAGGCACTGGATTAAAACCATGCTGTACGGAGCAAAGTTTGTGCTGAAATCACCGTGTGCACAGTGATTCTCCTGAGGCAGTAGACCCAAAACCTGTGACAGCCATTATTCCCTGATTGTTCCATGAATATCGGTCTTATCCACATGGAGCATTCAACAGACAACATGACAGCAACGGCAGCACACACTTACACCTGCACTCTCCTAAGCACTGTTATAAAAATTAACTGATTTTTAGTCATACAACAATCCTGTGGCATTGTTATATTCCCACAATGTGTATTTTAGATAAGTTTAGTAAGGCACAGAGGGGTTAAGAATATACTTGAGATCACACAGCCAGCAGGCGACAGCCGCAGTTTAAATCCAGCCACCAGCTTCAGAATCTGTGCTCTTACCGATAGATACTGATTTTGGTGTTGTCTGCAGATTGAAGCACCTGTCCTCTTAGAGCTTAAATCTAGGAGGAGGGGGAAGACAGATGAAACGCAAATGCAAAGTAACTGTGTCCATGATACACACTTGAAATTACCAGAATTACCAGATGAGTGCTTTGGAGGAAACGAAAGCCATCTGACTTTAACAGCCAGGGCAGGGTGGCAGCCAGTCCCCGGGGGCTCACAGAGGCCTCCTGCTGGAGCAGTTGAACAGAGCACAGTGCAGGGAGCTGTGGGCATGTCTGGATGAGGAGTGTTCCTGGCAGAGGAGTGAGCAGGTGCAAGGTCCCTAGGGTGGGTGCAGGTGTGGGCATTTAGGAAACAGCCCAGAAGGAGACCTTTGTGCTGAATCCAAATGAGCAAGGGGGAGAGGCTGAAAGATTTGATCAGCAAGGAAGTAGGGGCCACACCCCATGGGCACTTTCCTCTGAGGAAGATGGGATCCTCTGGTGGCCATTGTCTGGCTTTGGTTGTGACTTCTGTGAGGCCTTGTTGGGAGGGAAGGCTGTGTTTGGGCCCGACGTGATGGTGGCTGGGCTCAGCATGGCTGCAGGTGGAGCCATCTTTTCACAGATGAGGCAACATCAGATCCTCATCTGTGGAGCAGCTGCTCTGTGCCCAGGATGCAGGCTCAGTGTTCCACCGGGTTCCAGTGGGCCCTTGCTGCAAATGAGCGCCATTTTCATAGCCTTCTGTGAGGACGCCTGGTGGTACCTCTGAGCCCCCTCTAGCCTATTCTATTACACATGAGGCGGGGCATGCAGGAGCAACCACTTGCCTGGCCTCTCTGTACCTGCCCCCTTTTAATTTTGTCCTCCCATCAAGCCCAGGGCCAGAGGAAAACACTATGCCCGAGACGGAGTTCTCCCTTATACCTGTTTACGTTTCCAAGGTGAAGAGCACACAGCTGCGAACTATGAAAGCTTCATTAGCCTGGGGTGGCAGGGGGTGGGGAGTTGTGGAAAGAGGGACCTAGCAAAGGTGGAATGGGGGGTGAGGAGGGAGCAGGTGGAACCTGGATGGTGCTGCAGCTTTGAGATGTAAGGGAGCCCCTGCTCCCTAGAGCTCACTCTTTTTGGAGAAGCAAGACAAAAAGAGTGTCCCATGCTGCTCTGCCTTGCTCATCTGCTCCCCTGTGTCTCTGCCCAAACCTCAGTTTCTCTATCTGTACAGCTGGGCTAGAGGGATACCCAAGGGTCTGTGATTCTAAACCTTGTGCTGGGGATGATGGAAAACACCTGATGGTCAAGTGCAATGCCATGCAGGCTTCTGACATCTGAGGCTGTTGACAGCTCCATTCAAAGGAGATGCCCTTGTCCTGGCCATCGAGGAGTTTGTGACAGGGAAGACCCTCCAGGTGCCTGTTCACTGTGCCCCATCTCCTGTAATGTGTATCCCTTGCCACATCTGATTCTGGCTGGTGGCTCAGCCCCCTTACTGCTCTGAGTGTTAGATCTTCACTATTGCAGCTGAACTGTGCAGTGAGTCACAGCTGGTTATCAGGAAACAGCCTCCCTGGACTTCCACCCAGGCCCTCCAGGAATCCTAACCCCCTCCCTTGGCACTTCTGCCACTCCTGGCCAAAGTCCCTTCATTTCTCTAAAATGTCCATTCTCAAATATTTGAATTAAAGCTCTATTGCACCCTAAATTTAACTAAAGACTCTAAAGAGCTTTTGTTCGTACAGGTGGTATCTATCATTATTTAGCATATTTGAAATTAAAACTGGGCAATTAAAAATATGTATTGTAAAATAACATTAGTAACATTAATAATGTTAAGTAAATATTGAATACATGTTAAATAAATATTAATATATTAATCTAAAATGCAGATTTAAAAATAACTGCATTACATGTTAAATAAATATTTTTATCAAAAAAATTATATTTTTCAAACAAACAGTACTGAGAAGAGTGACTCCTTTTTTGCAAATCTCTTCCATCCTGGCTTAGTAGACACACACGTCTGCTTCTGCATTCGGTCTGTTGTGATACCACATCACATAGCCTCTGAAATCCACTGTAAGCAGGGAAAGGAGAGTGGAGCGAGCTAATCACATCTTAACATTGTTATGGAAATCGTTCTGACCAAGCAGACTGCTGGAGAGGGGCCGCAGGGCCCCCCAGGAGTTCCTGGCTGTCTGAAGAGTGCTGCCTCAAGAGACAGGCCATGTCTCCCTTTGTCCCTCCTGGGGCCTGGCACTGGGGTGCACTTTGCAGAAAGCATTAGCTGAATGGGTCCAGGAGCAGGGAGCAGCTTCTTTGGGCAGGAGGGAGACTCATCCCTTCCCTGGCTGAAGACCAGAGGGGCTGTGGAATGCATGCATTAGTGGACATGTATCCATCCTGAACCAGCAGGGTCCAGAGGGTTCCTGGGCACTGACCCCTGTAGAGGAGTTGGACACAGTGACTGTGTAATGGCCACTTGTACTGGCTCGGTGCTTGTGCCCTGCACCTGTGCTGCACACACAGCTCTGCCTAACACAGCTCTGCTCTTGCTTTCCCAGGGAGCCCAACAAGACCAACCTGGTCACCTTCTTCCAGACCGACCTGAGCGGCTACCTCCCGCAGACCGTGGTGGACTCCTTCTTCCCACGCAGCATGGCTGGCTTTTACACCAACCTTCAGAAAGCAGTGAAGAAATTCCATGAGTGATGGGTGTCACTTGTTGTCAGAGAACATCTGTGATGCATCAGGATGCTCAGGATAGAGCTGGGAAAGCCCCAAGGAGTTGCTTCTGCCCTCTGGGGACAGTGAGTCTCTGAGAGTGCAGCCAGAGACAGCAGCTTACCCCCTCCACTCAACATTAGCCTGGGAGAGGCCACTCATCTGCCTGTGATCCAGACACATCTGGCAGGATGGACCCAGGTTTCTGGCCACCCGATGAGACTCAGCTCAGGTGCTGTGGGACGCACAGTGATCCAGAGGTCACATCTCCACGGTGGCCCTAGAAACCCACTATCCATACTGCACACCAAAACCTACTGCCTCCTTAGCATCCAGAGCGCTCTGCCTCTGCACAGACCCCCATGTGTGTTTTAACCCTGCCGGAGATTTTCTCCTTATGAAAGGTCAACTTGGAAAATAAGGGTTTAAACCAGGGATAAATCTTAAGGAAAAACACATTCAGCTTTCCCTTTGTTGTATCTTTTATTGAACTAGGTTCTTCTCTCTAGCATTGGACTCAGTTCTCCCTTCTGTTGGACTCGATTCTTCTTCCTTCTGTTGGACTGGGTTTTTCTCTCTTCCATTGGACTGGGTTTTTCTCTCTTCCATTGGACTGAGTTCTTCTCTCTAACATTGGACTGGTTCTTCTCTTGTCCTCTTTCTCCACTGTGTTGACTTCCATGTCTTCAAGTAGCCAGCATTTGAACCAACCCAGACCAAGTCTGCAGTCTTGGGGCGAGTTTTGTTTGTGGGTGATTTTAAACTGAGCAAGCTAATCCCATCTGCAGGTGGAGCTCTGGGTTGTGAGCCTCCTTCCCCCCGGGGCATCTGCCTTTCCTTGTCTTCTGTTAGGGAGGCCAGGGCAGGAGTGCTGCAGCCTCCAGGCCAGTCAGGCGGTACTGCCATCAGGAAGGAGGGCAGAGAGCAGACCTCCCTCCAGCATCCCTGGCTGGAATCCCCACCTCCAAATCTGCTGTGGGACTGCACAACCCTGTGGGGGCCATGCCCACCCTGTCCGTCATCAGAGCCAGGGAGCACAGCTTTGAAACCTGGAAGAGGCTTATCAGGAAGTGACACATAACTTCCTTTTCTTCTTCCCAATCAGGGTGGCACAACCAGAGATGACTCCTGTACCATTCCTCCAGTCTCAACTGTACCCCACCACCTACCTTGTAAGGGGACCCCTCGTGTCTGACAGGGAGCCTTCATATGGCAGTTGCTCCGTTACTCTCGCCTGTGCTAAAATTTTCTTAAGAGTCCTCTGCCTTTGCTCCTCCAAATGGAAAACACACCCCCATCTTGGAGTCCTGGTGTGGCTGTCCTGAGTGTGTGATGTGAGAAAGCTAGCTTTGTGACATGACAGCCAGTGTCAAAGTGGTAAAAAGCCCTCTATGTTCTCATGAGCTATAGATCTGCCATCAGCCATGACCATCAGTGACTCCCTTGTCTTACCAAGAAGTCATCATCATACTCTTGCATCATTAGAATTCATTCATTTGCTCACCAAGTGCTTCCTGGGTCCTACTGTGTGCCAAGCACTGCTCTTTATCAACCTCTCATGAGTTGGTCTCTTGGGTCCAGTCAATTCTAGGTGCACCAGCCAAGCAGAACTTTTGTGCCTGCCCCACTGAGGCCCAGACCCAGAAGGTCTTGGTAGTCTTACCAAGATGGCTCAGCCTGAGCATCCCTATCCAGCCCTGGCTGGAAGACTGGCCACTCCAGGACCCATCCTGCAGGAAGTGTTATGCCTGCTCTGTTCACATATGTACCTGCTGGTGTCCATTAAGCTGGTTTAAGCCCTGGATAAGGAGCCAGAACACATGTCTGCTTTGACTTCTGGTCTTAGAAGAAAATCTGGAGGCAGGAGGACAAGTCAAGGGTAGTCTGTTTCCTGAGCTTTGCAGTCAGGTGTTCAAAACTGACCAAAGCAAACAGCCCATTGGTCAGACACTTGGGAGTATTTTCCTTACAATGCTCTACACTTTAAAACATCTTGGCCTGCTCATCTCTAGCAGATCACAGATGGAAGGACTCTCTCCTTGGTCAAGTCATGGACAAGTTATGTGCTGTCTCCAAGTGTCAATGCCTTCATCCATACATTGGACCACACGCTATCAAAGTATCCATTTAACACCAAGCCCGGTGCTTGGCACTTGGTAGTTCTTATTTCATGTTCACAACCCTACTGGCTCATCCACCCTTTGAGTTTCCCCCCTACTCCTCTTTGTTTAATGGTTCTGTCATCTGGCATCACCCTTACCTGGGATTTTCTCCAACCAATCAAAAACAGCCTCACAAATATTTTGTGGGACAGACCCTATTTTCTGAGATGGCCTCAGCAATATTTGCCCTCCTCTTAAGCCTGGACAGGTGGGATCCAGCTGTAACTAAGAATGCACAGGAAGTTATGCTCTGAAACTTCTAAGACAAGGGCATAAAAAAGATGCAGCTTCTACCTGGCTCTTGCCTTCCTGGAGTGTTCACCAGGGACACTAAACACATTCTGTGAGCAAGCCCAGCACCTGGGAGGCCACCTTCGAGTGTTCAGGACCAAAACTTCGCAAAGCTCCAAGCCATCCACCAACATGACTCCAGGTGTGTGAGGGAGCACCCTTACAAGGTCCCAGCCCCCAGCCTGGAGATGCTGTAGCTAAGGCTAAATGGAGCCAAGCCCCACCCACAGGGCAGAGTCAGGAGAAGAACAAAGTTCTGTTTTGGATGGACTGTTACAGTTAGAGCACTTGTAAGATTTTGCAAATCAAGACATCTATTTCATACCAAATTGTAATATATCCATTTTATTATGACACCAAGCTTTATCATTCAGCTCTCTATACACAGTCTATAGTTTGTACCACCCCAGTGTGACTCTGCCGCTACTTTTAGGACCACCCTCTTGCTGAGTGTTGTTCCAGAAGGGCTGGACCTGAGCAGCACACCTGTGCTTCCCCCAGTCTTGGTGGGGTGGGCAGCAGGGACACAGAATCAGCAGTTACGGGAGCTACGTGCTCTTGGCTTCGGTTTTGGAGTTGCTCTGCTTAGGAGTCTCCAGCAGCTGTGGTACCCTTGGACTGCAGGCTTTTCCTTTTGATAACCACAATGACAGGTCCATCAGGCAATGCTTTGATGACATTCCAGGCTTCGAACCGGGTAAGGCCCTGCACGGTATTGCCAGCCAGCTGCAAGATTTCGTCTCCTGGCTGGACTGTGTCACTCTGTTCTGAGGTGGCCCCTGGAAGGAGGGAGAAGGAGAAGATAATGGGCCCACATGGGATAAGGGCACAATGAGCCTTACTTTCTACCTTTGGTCTCCAAGGAGCCAGGTAGCTCAGAAGAAAGAGCATGGTGCAGCCATCTCTTGGGAGCTTGGTGGTTCTAAAGAGGTATCTTACAAATGGTGCCTCAGAGCTTGGACCAGGCTCTCTCTGACCCTTAGAAAGCTGTAGCCCATGCTCTTCCCAGGTAAGAGGGTCTCAGGCAGCTCCAAGCCAGAGCCTGGTGACGGGCTTGCACAGTTCATAGTCACTCTGGTGAACTGGATTGATCTCAAGGCCCCTTGGACACTGAGCCAGTGTCCCATCCCTCATATTTGGTCCCCACTTCTAGTAGATATTTAGCATTAGGTGGCGTGGGGAGGGAGATGGTGAGATGTTCATGAAGCAAACTTCACAGCATTAGGCTGTCACCAGTCTGGAGAAGACCTCCATGCCCACGTGTAAAGGACTTGGATCTCCATGACACCCACACTTTTTTTCATACTGTAATATTGAGAGAAAATCTATCCATTTGACACCTTGATCTTCACAAAGAGTGCATAAGACTATAAAATGGTAACAATGAAAATAGAGCTACAATGTATCCGGCAAGTATTACAGCAGCCATGGTGCCAAGGTGTTGCATTTGTGACAGTGACCTTGTGTGGTCTGCACCATGAATTCTCCCTTCTCTCACAGGCGAGGGAACCAAAGACAGGAGTAATTCGCTCAGAGCCACAAAGCCACAAGGCTGCTCAGTGGCAGGGCCTGGGTTTAAATGCAGGCTTTCCGATCCTAATGTCTGCATCCTTGGTACCGCCTCCCGCTGCAGCTGATGGGCTCGGCACCAGGATGCTGAGGTGACTTGCCCACAGCCATGCTACTGTGAGAGGCAGAACGGACATCAGAACCCAAATGTCTTGATGTTGGACCTACGCTTAATGCTTCTTCCAAAGCAACCTTCAAACATCAAAAATGCCTTCCTCAGAATTGGGGCGAACATGAATTCTGGGGGAGCCACCACAGACTCTCTAGGCTTCCACAGCTGCTGTAGAAATATCCACCTCTTCCTCTCACAAAACCAGCTGGCCACGAGGGCCCACAAGGGCAGAGGGCAGGGCTGGGTAGCCCTTGGGGTCCACATCTAAGAGCCCTCAGACACACAACATACTCCTTGCCTCTTTTTACGGATAAGGAGCTTGTGGCCAGAAAGGAAATGATTACCCAGCAAGTTAAAGGCAGGTTGGGACCAGAGCTACCTGACCCCGTCCATTGTTCCTCCACAACCTGGTGAGCTGGGCTTCCGGCCTGAGGAGCAGCAAAGAACCAGGGTGGATTGACATAAGAGCTACAGGTCCTGATTTTCACAGGAAAACTCAAATCCAGTGGCCCACAAGAGACTGTCTTGTACCCCAATCCATGACGAGCAAAATAATGAAACTGGAAATAAAGTCAGAAACCCATGAGTTCAGGACAGAGGTAAGACCATGAGGTCACGAAGCAAGCAAGACCCCAGGCTCTGACCTTATTTAAAACTTTGATATTTTGTTCATCATGGATTTTTAAAATTAATCTTGGCATTTAAAAACACTGCACTGGAATATTACTGATCTTGAATATTGCGTATTTGGGCAATTGTTCAGTTTTGTGTCTCAGCCCAGGGCTTCCCTTCCTTCATTCTAACCTTGACCCTGCTGAGCTGAACAAGCCCAGACTCCATTGCCTAAAAGGACACAGCAAAATGGGAGGATTAAAAGGATTTAGAGGAAAGGACTAAAGGCAGAACTGAACCCCAAGCAGGATGCTTGCCTCTCAAGAGAACCTAGGGTTGTGGGAAACCAGTGTGGTCCTGAAGTGCTCCAAAGTTTTTTGGGGAGCCTGTCCACATGCCTGCAACTCAAAGCAAAAGCTCACCCCACCTTTGAAAATCCTGTTAATGGTGAGAGGCTTGTCACCATGCAGGGATCCCTTCCCTCCTTCCAGGCTGAAGCCCAGCCCTGCTGAGGTCTTCTCCAGGGTCACTGTGCAGACGGTGGCCTCTGCTGTGGAGGAAAACACAGAGCTCTGTTAGAGATCCACTCCAGGCCAGCCGCCCTGGCTGATGCTGGCTGCTCAAGTGTGCACACATAAGCACACTCAGGGCACCCCGGGCAGTCATGTGCTGTTGAGGTCACAGGTTACTGAGCAGCCCCACCAAGACTGGCTCCAAATGACCAAAGGCAATGTGGCCCATGAGGCTTCCTTTGAGTTGGGAGAACTTACTAGATTCTGCAGAAATGTCGCTGGCTGCAGAAGCTGACACTGCGGAGTCAGTGGAGGAGTTCAGGTCGGATGTGGCCTCCACAGTCGGCCTCCTGGTGACAATCACAGCCTGCCTTGGGTCCCGAGCGTGGCGGAGGATGGCCAGGGCATCGTTGTGGGTGACACCTTTGAGGGACTTGCCATTGATAGAAAGGACCTCATTGCCCTTCTGGATTGTCCCTTCCTGGGAGGCCAGCCCATTTGGAAACACTCTGTGAACCTGAGCAAACCCAGGAAATCAGTACCAGAGACCATCCATGTAAGTGAGATACACATTCCTGTAGAAGAGGACCTGAACCCGTTGGTAACCAACCCTACAGAATGTGTAGGCAAAGGAAATGGAGGCTAATTGTGTCCTTGGTCAGAGCTGCAGGCAGAGCCAGCTTCCTTCCTTCTCTGCCCAGAGCCAAGCTGGCCAGCAGTGATGATGACTTGCTGAGTCCTTCCCCCACTGTGTTACATCTGCATCACTGTGAGCCTCACTGACATTCCAGAGAAAAGCTGTAGTTCTTGGCCGGCTCTAACATTAACAATTCATACAAGAAGAGGGTTCTGAGATGAAAGAAACTTGGGGAGTCCTGGGTTAAGCAAACCTCTGAAAATGCCTCTTTCTTCAAAGACGTTAGAAACTCTACAATGTCAACTAGTACCCTAGATCCCTAAGGTAGGCAATATATTACAATAATTCACAAAACTATTTTGACAAAGAATGTTTTATTTCATACAGAAATGCTCAGGCCCTAGCTGGGCACCAGTGACTCACCCCTATAAACTGAGCTACTTGGAAGGCTGAGACAGGAGAATCAAGGTTCAAAACCAGCCCAAACAAAAGGTTTGTGAGACCCTATCTCAAGTAATAACTGGGTATGGTGGTGCACACCTGTCATCTCAAGCTATGCAGGAAGCTGAGATTGTAAGAGGCGCTTAAACTGCTTTTGCTGAAAAAGCACTCCTTACTCCTTACGTGGGCCCACAAACTAAAAGCAGGAGAAAACCATGGCATCTCTCTTTCATTTTGAAGGAGGGATGCTGCAAAAAGAAGCCATTCTTTTTGTAGTCACTTTGCAATCACCTTGGAATTCAGGAAAGACAGAATTGATAATATCTCATGACAAGGGACTGACTGAAACTATCCCCAGCAGTAGAGCTTCCTCAGGTTTGACCACATGCCAGGCGACAATGACTCTAGGTTACAACTCCAGAACCTCTCCCAGAGGTTGACTGAGACAATGACCAAGGAGGCCACACCTGTGACTGGGACTTCTCAGTCACCGTGCATACCTTCTCTCTCTGCCCCTGCCCCGGTTCTTTGTCTATTTAAACCCATAGCTCATGTGTGTACCCTGAAGACAGCTGAAGATGGGCTGAGTGCTTCCTCTGCGTCTTCCTAGGCCATGTAATAAACCTCCTTTGTCTGCCTCCACCATGTCTCTTTATGTGGCATACAGAGGCTGGACCTGGCATGTGGAAACCCAGGAGTTCGGACCTGGGGTCCAAGACTCCAGTTTTGAGATCAGGAGGCTCCTGTTGCAGGCCAGCCCAGACCAAAGGAAAAAAAAAAAAAGTCTGCAAGACCTCATCTCAACGGGGGAAAAAAGAAAAGCTGAGCATAGTGGTCTGTGCATACCAGTGACAGCAGGAAACTTAAAACAAGAGAAACATGGCCTGGGTGGCTGGGGGAAGGGGGAGTCGGTGAGCAAGACCCTAGCTCTAAAATAGCCAGGGCAAAAAGGTCTGGAGGTGTGGCTCAAGTGGTAGAAAGCCTGCTTCACAAGCTCACAGTCCTGAGTTTAAACACCAGTACAGGCTAAAGAAAAAAGAAACAGAAATGTTCAGGCCACATTTTCTGTAGAACACATTTGAGATATAGCACCATAAACCATCTAGACATTTCCAAAGCTCTCCCCCCAGCCATCCTCATTCCTTAGCTGCAGTCACTCCTGTCCCCTTTCTGTAAGAGATGTGAGATGAGTTTTCTTTTTTAGGCCTCATTGAGTCTTTGCCTCAACTTCTTCAGTGATGTAATTATAATTAAGAAGATTGGATGATTGCACTCATGAGTGTGCTGTTTGTTGTTTTACTTTTACCTCTGCTTCTAAAATTATCTTGCCATCGGAATAATTCTGCTGTGTGCTCAGACGTGCTTAGGTTATAGATGCAACAGGAAGCAGAACCTCCACCGTGACTTTCACCCTCTTCCCACCCCATCCCCTATAAAAGGAGCAGAAATGCTGCGAACTCCTCAACCCAGGATGTGGGAAGATTCATTTAGGTAACAGGGCATTGAGAGCCCCACATGGCTTGATTAGGAACAGTGCTCCTGGTTAGTTCCCTTTTAGTGAATCTGGATCTTTAAGAGAGAGAAGTGCTCAGCATGGAAGGAGAAAGGGGAAGTTCTGATGCAGCCGTGGGTCACTTCCTCCTGGCTTCCGTGAGGCTGTGGTGTCTCGGGGTGGCCAGCCAAATGGAGCAGAGAGAAATTGCTACTCAGAATCACATCAGAAAGTCCAAAGTGCGATTCCCTACGGGGGAGGGGGGGGGTCTGCTTTTTTCTCTCCAAATAGGAAGTAAGCTACACTACCAGGAACCTTTCTGCAATACTCAGCTATGTGGCTAGCAGCACAAATTGGTGCTTATTGATTTTATATGGTCTTTGTGATAAAGAACTTGTTTGTTAAAAAAAAGTCAAAGGCATCACTGCTCGCACAGGATCCACTCTGAGATGACCAGAAGGAATGAGCACCGTTACCCTGGCCAGGGTCGTGCCATGTTTAATGCTGGCTGAGGCCACGAGCTGGATTTGTTCTTAGCTAGGCAAAGAAATTCAAATGCCCAGGACTGCCCAGATGAAAGATTTCCCGGAGACAACCCAGCATGGAATGCCAACAAGGTACTCAGCTTTGTAGAGACTCAGAAGCCATGCTGCACGTAGCCGGGTTCATGAAGATGGGAGGACCAGAAACCACCTAGTCAGGCACAGAAGACCCGGTACCCTGGGCAGACGGCAAGGATGACCAGATTGCCTGGGCCAGAATAATGGGGTGCACAGGAAAAGATGCATGACCTGGGTCTGTTGTCTCCCCACACCACCCCGGGCTCTCGCGGGTCCTGTGTGAACAAGGGACTGGATCATGAGATTTGATGCCCCTAGGAGAGCACTGAGGTGTGTGGCCTGTGTACAGGTAGCTGCTTCCCTCCACCCAGAGCCCCACTGTGCTCAGCCAACCATAGGTCAGCTCTGCCACTGTCCACGTGAACACTTCACTCCCTAGTGGACAAACCCAGGAAGACCACCTCCTCTACAGGCCCTGCCTTCCCATGGCTCCTTTCCACCCAGGTGTGCTGGGCTGTGCAGGTCTTCAACCCTGGCTGTAAAACCTCTCCAAAAATGCCCCGTGCTCATAAATCACTCTTGTCTAAATCTTAGGGAATATCAAACTCCTACTTCCAAAGGAGGAGGCATGAAATGGGACAAAATTTAGTTTCAAGTTTTTAAAAAAAAAAAATCCCTCCAGCACCTAAAAAATATTGGTATTAGAGCTCCAGCAGAATTTGCAAAATTCTGATTCAAGTGTTCCAAAGTGAAGTCGAGATACACACACACAGGCACACATGAACACAATGCTCACGAATATGGGGGTGGAGAGAGAGAGTCTTTTGAAGCTCCACAGGTTCATTTGCACACATTGAAGTCATTTTGGGTAAACAGAGACCTTTGTTAAAGTGAGGATCATGTTCAGGGCTGAATATGGGGCACGGGCACGCAGGTGACCACATACACTTCCTGGAAGGAATGGTCCTGAGGGCTCTCCTCCAAGATCCTGTGCTGACCACCTGCCCCATGGCCTGGTGTCATGCCTTCTCTGTTCCCCAGCACAAGGTACTGGCAAGTTTGCCTCCATCCCCTCTGGCTCTGCCATGCCCCTCCCTGCTCACTTACCGTAATCACCTTGTTCTCCAGATCTGCTCCTCCTGCCAAGCTGAACCCCAGGCCCACTCCTTCCTCCTTGTGTAGGACGGTGACATGGATGCTGTCCAATTGCTGCAGGTGAAAGCACCCACGTTAACAAACATTCCACTGGAACAGCAGGACGGCCTAATGAGTGATTTAACATGACACTGATTTCTGTATCAAGCTGCAGCTGGGCCAGGCTCCAAGTTCTCCCACTCCTCAAACCTCAGTTTCAGTTTCATCATTCAGAGAGAACTGTGCATTCAGGAGTCACAGGAAGCTTCAAAAAACAAGAAGTGTACAAAACAGCAAGACCAGCTCTCCCCTCTGACTCGCCCATCGACACCCACGCTCACAGATGGGGCTAGGGGCTGTGAGGTCAGCGAGAAACCCTAATGGGTTGCATAATGAAACTGTAGTATGAGGTTGTAGGACTTTGGTGAAAAGAGCCCAGGGGTCAGTGCTGTTTTGCAGGCATTGTTTACTCCTCCCTCCCTTCACTCCATGGGCACAGCAGCAGCAGTAAGAGGCCAAGCTGACATCTCACTCGAATCCATGCACACAAATGCTCACCCATGTGCACACACATGCACACAAACCCATGCTTGCACACACAGCACTTCCCAGCCTGGACTGGGACTCACATGGAGCCAGGACAACCTCCCTGCACTATCTGAAGTCAGAGACTCCCTATTCTAGTCTAGAGCTGGGGTCTCAAGGTCCGATGCCAGCAGGACCAGCAGGACCAGCAGATCCCAGGTGAGCAAAATGGGCTGGTGGGAGTGTTGGAACTGGAGAGAGCCAAAGAGTACATCTCCTGCTCTGAAGGTTCAGCCATCACAGAGGAATGCAGCCCAGTGGTACTGACTGGGTCAATTCCTTTAAAGGAAAAGGTCAGAAATCCAGGTTTTGATTTAGGTTTTATAATACTTGGAACTCAATAAATTTTACTAATAACCATGCAGACCAAGTAAAATGCACCTGCAGGTGTATTCCACATGGCTCTTGGGCTATCAGTCTATATACGGTCACTAGGTAAAAAGTCTTCAAAGACTTCACTTGCTCAGGTGCCACCAGAGTTCTGCCTTGCAGCTGGGTCTGAGACCCTTGGATGTGGAGTCCCCAGGACCCAGAAGTGATGAAGGAATGAGTGCATTCCACCACCCTGCACTAGCCCCCACCCCCAGGTTATTTGCTCCGTAGTGCTTGGCAGGTTGGAAAGCAATAATGTCTTAGACATTCTCCCACACCTTTGCCTCTGTTATTCCACTTGAGCTGAATTGGGCCCTGGACACTGATGGTCCTGGCCACAAGTGGTGAGCGAGATCCTAGAGGAGGAAGCACACCCACTGCGTGTCTTGGGTTCATCAGACTTAACCACACCCTTGACCTTGGAAATGTAGCTGTAAGGTGTCCTCTTATAGAAAAGGAGGGTCTCCTTCCCCCTTTTATCCCAGAGTGGATTATTCCAGTGCAGGAGTCCCGTGTGGATCCCTGGAAGCCCAGAGGGAGTGAAGCCCATGAGTCCACGTCCCCGTGCCCATGAATGCCAGGTGCAGTTCTGCCTGGTCTCTTGCTCCCCACACCTCTGTGCTGCGCTGAGAAAGCACACAGGAAGTGAGACTTTCAGAATGACTTGGCTGAAGCCCTGGGACCTTTGAACTCTCGGTGTGCAGAGGAAATAATGAAAGCTCTGAGGCAGGGGCTCTCAGAGCCCACACTGTTTTTACAAAGGACCATGTGCTGCCATTAGCAACTCTCTGCAGACTCATGCCAGGTCCATAGCCCATGGGACATGGGCACAATGCTCAACTTGAACTTGGAGACAGAACACACAGGCTCTGCGACCTTTCTGATTCATAAAATGAGCAAATGGATGTCCCTCTACCACAGCAGGACAAAACCTAGGTCTGGTGTCAGCTCCTGGAAGCTGCCTTCTGAAACCCAGACACCCATGGGATTTCTTGAGCTACCTCCCCTCGGACACAACTGAGGTGACCACAGATAAGCCCTTGTCACTGTAAATGCTTACAAAGGAAACCTACCTTTAATGTCGCTTCGTCCAGAACTCTCACTTCCTCAATGAGTTTTTTCAGTTCTTCCGAGCTCAGCAGCGAGATAACTGACTGGCCAGACTGACAGGAGCAGTGGTCCCCGTCCTCGGCCTCCTTGGGCTCAGTGAGACCTTCTGTGTATTCTCTGAGTTCTGAAAGGCTTTTGTGGGAATGAGCAGCACAAGGTGTGGACAACAGTATTAATAAGAGGTAACATTTATTGCATCCTCCCCTATTCCAGCAGGGGGCCAGCACTCAAGTGCACTCTATTATTTGGTGCATCAAATATTTCTCAGCAGCACAAGAATAATAAATAAAACTAACAACTGCAGATACTCTGAGTCCAAAGGGAAGACCAAGCTCCAGTCCCCAAGCACCTTTGCCAGGCCCACGGTTCTTTGAAGCCGATCTTGTCTGTCCACCTCCAGATTTCAGCAAGAGAAGAAAGGGTGAGGGTGGAGGGAGCCTGGTCATCATGTCACACAGTCAGTGCCTGAGCTGGGATGAGGATCAGATAATGCCCAGAGTGAAATGGATCCCTGCTGGGGGCAGTAAGACCAAGAAGGGAAAAGCTCCAGGCTCATTCTGGAGTAAGAGGAGAACTTTCTGATGTGCACAGCCTTCCAAACCTCCACGGGTAGCTCACCAACCAGGGGCCAGTCCTGTCCGCCGCCTCCCACCCCTCCTTCACACACACACACACACAGCAGAAAAGAAGGAACAACCTTTTAATAGTCTAGCTGAAAAAAATCTTAAAGTGATATATAGAATTACAAAATTTTTTAAAATAAGCAGCGTACTAGTGGCTCACACCTGTAATCTTAGCAACTTGGGAAGCTGAGATTGGGAGAACCATAGTTCCAGGCCAGCCCTGGCAAATAGTTCAGAAGACCCCCATCTCAATGGAAAAAAGTTGGGTGGGGTCATGCATCTGTTATCCCAGTGATAGGGAGAAGCATAAGATAGAGGCTAGTGATCCTGGCTGGTCTGAACCAAAAATGAAACCCTTGCTCCAAAATAACCAGAGCCAAAAGGGCTGGAGGCATGACTCAAGTGGTAGAAAGCCTACCAGGCAAGTGCAAAAACTTGAGTTCAAACCCCAGTACCATAAATAAATAAATAAATAAATAAATAAATAAATAAATAAATAATGAGAGGAGAGAGAAACAGAGAGAGAGACAGACAGCAAGAGAGAGAGGAGAGAAAGAAAGAAAAAGGAGAGAGAAAGAAAGGAAGGAAGGAAGGAAGGAAAGAAGAAAGAAAAGGAAAGGAAAGGAGGAAGGAAGGAAGGAAGGAAGGAAGGAAGGAAGGAAGGAAGGAAGGAAGGAAAGAAGGAAGGAAAGAAAGACCTGGGTGCCAGTGGCAAATAGTTTGCAATACCCTATCTCAAAAAACCCTTCACAAAAAAGGGATGGTGGAGTGGCTCAAAGTGTAGGCCCTGAGCTTAAACCCTAGTATCTCAAAAACTGGAGGGAAGGAAGGAAAAAGGGAAGGGAAGGGATGGGAAGGGAAAATGAGAAAAAAGAAAGATGAGATGGGTGACCACAGACCCTGGGGGAAACACTCACTTGAGGGAGAAGCCGGTGTCCAGGGCCCCAGCCTCGGCCGTGCCATTTGCAACTGAGTCTTGGTTGGAAGATGGCTTTGTTGCTGTGCCTTCCTCCAGGAGGCAGGTTGCCTGGCTGACTGAGGATGGGAGGCACAGCAGGGATTTCATGACAGCCGAGGACACTTGGCTGCTGATGGAGTAGAGTTTACTGGTCTTTTCATCGAGCAGCTTGGCCTCACAAGACTGGGTTCTGGTCAGGGGGAAGCTCCGTGCCCGCTGGCTTGGCATCTTGAGGACTGGCCCTTGCATGTCCTCAGTCTGTGAGACCAGCAACCTCACGAGGGGGTCAGGGTCAGCGGAGAGGGTTTTCTGGCTGGGCCTCTGCTCTGGGGAAGGGGACTCAGACACACCTGGGTCACTGGCCCCTGAGGCTGCAGTGCAGCCTGGGGTCAGTTGCTCTTGTTCTGGCTGCCTGTGCTTAGCAGAAAATGGAGCCCCTCGCCCCAAGAGGCCAGAAAACCGTCCTCCCTCTTGCTTCCCAGAGGGTTTGAGGGACTCCCCGGAGGAGGACTGAAGGGTCAGTCTCTGTGCTCCTCTGTCAGGCAGTTGAGAGGAGCCAAAGTTTTCAAAGGAGCTGATTCTTTGCTTAATGGAAGAGGAGGAGGCCCGGGGGTGCAGCCCAGGGGACTCCCTGCAAGCAGGCGTTGGCTGGGAAGATGAGGCTGCATCCAGCTGCCTTTTGGGGTCTGGAACGCGAGTCCGCAGACCTTTGAGGCTTTGACGAAACCAGGCAGGCTTGGGGGCCACAGGGGGGCCCTTCTTCACAGTGCTGCCGTCTGCTGACTTGTGAGCTTTCAGAGCACCGTTGGCTGTGTCCAGCTTCGGCGAGGTCTCATCTGGGTGGCCGTGTGTCTCACCTTCTTCACCCAGGCTGACACTGGACTGTCTTAGAGGCGTGTGGCTATGGTTCTCACTCATGATGGGACTGAATAGGTTTTTGATGCAGTCAGAAATTCTAACCCAAGGGTCTTCGGCAGTGGATTCAAAACTATAGTCCATCCGAGCCTGCCTCTTCAGCACCGGGTGTTTTAGGGGGGACGCTTGGGGAGCTGGGAACCAGAAACAAATCAGAGCTGTGCATTACATCTTGTTGTGATTTCTTCTCCTAAATTCTAGTTGTAAAGCTGAATGCCAAGAAGGGCTCTCTGGAGGAGGAAATGAGCAGATGTGGTGGACACTGAGTGAAACAGCTCCAGGTGCTGTCACCTGGCCAAGATAACAAGGGACAGGTCCAAGATCCAGAGGGGAGAGATGATTTCCTAGCATCCTAGGGTCTTAGTGCTGGATGTGTTCTCAGGGAATACCTGTCCAGTTTTAAGTCTTTTACAATGGAGGACTCCAGCATCCAAAAAAGGTGAAGGATCCTCTGATGGCAGAGCCAGGGCGTGAACCCATGACTCCTGACTGCCCACCCGTGTGCCCTTTCTGCTGTCAGAGTAGCTCCTCAGGTAACTCATGAGAATGTAAAAGCCAAAGCAATTCTCTTTCCTTCTAAACTTTTAACCCACTGCCAAGGTGGACAAGCCTGCCTGCAAATGGGGCACATCCAGCTGACCACAGCTCTGCCCACTCCTCTCGGGTTGGCATTTCACACATCAGGCATCTGCTGGTCCCTGAAATCCTGTGAGTCCCCTGCTTTGCCTGAACTTACATCATCGTTGCCTATGCTTAGGCCATCATTGAGCAGGTTGTTCAGCAAGGAGCACTTTCCCCCTTTAAAGAGTTGATTAAAAAGTTCCCGGTAGAAAAGGCTCTGGAACATGGATTCTGAACCTTGGCTATACATTGCAATCTGACGGGTTCAACCCTGGATTCTGATTTGATGCACCTGGGATGTAGTCGGGCACTGGGAATTCAATGAGCCCAGTGGGGGATTCCAGGGTGCCACCTGCTCTGTGCCCACTAGGCCCCAGATTACCCTGCTGTGTGCAGTCCTTTACCCCAGGGAGTCATTCTCAGAAGCCAGCACTGAACTGGCATCCATCTACCCTTGATGCTCTTTCCCAGGGACAAGTGACATTGGCCCCTGGGCCAATGACAGCCAAGAAGCCAAGTCAATATGTGACCTGCCTTGTCCCCCATGTCTCACCTTTCTGTGGTTAAGAGAAGGCTGCACTGGCTGTGTGCTTTGAGAGGGTGCTTAATGCCAGTTTAAGGAACACTGGTCCCTTCTGTCACTGGTCTCAATGCCAGACCTCAAGGGAGTCAAACCATGTAGAACATTGAACCTTGGTGATTTCAAAGAAAAGCCCTGCGTGATCCAGAAGACCTAGGTGGGCACTAGTTGAACCTTAGCTATCTTGGTACTACTATTGAAAGAGAGAGAGAGAGAGAAAGAGAGAGAGAGAGAGAGAGAGAGAGAGAGAGAGAGGGAGGGAGGAAGGGATGGTATGGACCAATTCATTCCTTCTAAAGAGCCCCAGGAATCTAGGATTCCAAAGCTTCAACAAGTGAGTCCAGCCCTCCTAACCTGTTTCTGCATTTTTTAATTTGTTTGTGGCTATTTTGCTAAGAATCAGAAGTCAAAAGATTCTACAGGCAAGCCCTGTGCAAATTAGGGAGAGGACCAGATACGGGTGTGTATCTTAATTGGGATGGTTAAGGGAAGGGAGGGTGGAGGGGATGCAGCCTCTGTCAATAGGGCATCTGCTCTGGGTGGGACGTGTTGGCTCTTCCCAGTCACATCTCCTAACGCCTCACGGGGCCTTTCATGTGTTGTTCTGCAGTGTTTCTCAAACAGGCAGATGGTCATAGCCTGCATATTCAGTCCTCTGTCACAAGAGGAAGCTCCTTAGGCAGAAACTTCTCTCTCTCTCTCTCTCTCTCTCTCTCTCTCTCTCTCGACCCCACCCATCCACCTCCTCTCCTCTCCTCTCCTTTCCTTTCTGCTCCTGTCCTCTCCGCTCCTCTCCAGCACCAAGCAAAGAGCCTCACAAATCCAGCATTTAATGTGTGCTTACTGAGTTGAATCCCATTGGGGTTCTTTTCGATCCTCCACACCTTCCTATGAGTGAATGGAGGCTCAAAAGGTCAAGGTCAGTTCCCCCAAAACATAGTGAATGACAAATGAGTTCAGGATTTTCAGACTCCAAGCCCTATGCCCTTTCTAGCCAGCCATGAGGTACTCCAGTCGTCTCTTAGTACCGTTGAGTGGACCACGCTGACACAGCCTGGCCTTCCACCTCATGGAGGTGGTGACTGCCAACAAAAGGCAACGTAGGCTTTCCTGACCCTGTGCTCACAGACTGAGAAACAGTAGATGCAGCCTGCTTGTGTCGGCACCCAATAGCCAGCGCCCAGGATGGTTGGGCATGTACGTCCTCCCAAGAGCCCCATTCTCCAGCTGAACCAGACCAACACCACCCCAGCATCCCTGATCCAACCAGAAGGCTTTCCACCCTGGACAGCACCGCCACTGTCCTGCTGTCCAGCACCTAGGACTCCTGACTGGGATCCATGGGCCCCAGTCATCCGCCATGTCAGGGTCCACAGGCAAACCCCCTGCTCCTGCCTCATCATGACTTTCCTCCCGAATTCAGGCCCTGCCTTCTGGAAGGTCACTGCAGAAGCATACCTGGGCTGGCTCTTCTCCTCTCTGACTCGCCCTCTGCAGAGGACGATGTAGTCTGAGGGCCAACTCCAGGGCCTGGGCAGCAGGCAACAGCCCCGGGGCTTCTCCCTGCTGTGTCTTCCTGTGGAGGCAGTGGTGGCAGCAGCTCTCTGGCTTCCTGTGGGGTAAACAGGAAGTGAGACTGTGTCAGAACGGTAGCCCCAGCTGTGGGAAGGCAAGGCACACTTTCATTAGAAGTGGAAAGCTGTCTTCGATGAGAATTTCATCAGCAGCCTTGGAATGAGGGTCTTTTCATTCATGGTGTTGTCATGGCAGAGCTGTGGCCCAGAGCATCCCTTGGCTTCCAACAACCAGGTGTGTAGGTCATGGGCTCACTCTGCAGACATATGGGAAGATCCAGGCTCTTTGTGATGGGGACAAGAGGCTTGGGGGGAAAGGGGTGGCACTGCTTCATTGGCCACCTATCTGCCCCAGGAGGGTACAGAGTAGCATGGTAACTGTCCTCTGGTGATCCCTAAGTTAAAGTTAGACTGGTCAGAGGAAAACACTTGTCCATTTTGCTCTACACTGCTAGTCAGTATTCAAATACTTAGTAAGCACCCTGCAAAGATGACAAAGTCATCAGTACTGTGACCTGGCAGCTCTGGGGTGACATCATGGAGCTACTGCAGAGCTGTTTCCCCCTGGAGCTGGGTGCTGCCTCAAGGTCCTTCCTAAAACCTCCTGAGAGGACATGGATTGGGCACCAAATCACTGTGTCATTCACGAATACAGTTAGGTTAACACAGAGTGCGACAGAGACGCAGTGGGGGCCCAGCGGGAGCAGAGGCACCTGTTCTGTGCCCGAGGTGGGGAAGATCTCACCAGAGAACTGCCTCACTGCCTCGTGTCTGCTTCTGGAACAAAGAGTAAGAATTCCCCAGACAACCAAGCACAACACCTCTCCAGAGAAAAGAATTAGACGGCAGACATCATTAAAACAACGTCTCTATGTCTAACCATCCTCAGAAGAAACACTTTGTTCTGCTGCAGTGGCCCCATAAGTCATCCTATCTACGTATTTTAACCATGGGCCGTGTCACAGAGCGGCAAACTTCCTTCCAGAGAGGAAGGAAAAGAAGAGGAACACATGTGTCATTTGGGACCAAAAAAGAAATGGCAGATACTCAGGTGTGAACATTTACTGTCTACACTGGCAAGAGATAGTCTTTTTTTTTGGGGGGGGGGGTTGAACTCATGACCTTCACCTTGAGTCACTCCACCAGCCCTATTTTTGTGAAGGATTTTTTCAAGATAGGGTCTCACAGAACTATTTCCCTGGGCCGGCTTCAAACCGTGATCCTCCTGAGCTCTGCCTCCTGAGTAGCTGGGATTGCGGGTGTGAGTCACTGGCGCCTGGCATCAGGCAGTCTTTGGGAAGGAAAAGTCTGCGAAAGTCAGAACCATCACAAGTCACTGTCTCCCTCCAGGTTTTCCACAGCACGCCTGAGATTGGAGAGAGGGTTTTGGGAATACCAGGAGATCAAGCAAGCCAAAGGAACCTTTGGGCTACTTGAACTTGTCCTTTGAAAAAGCAACGTTTGGCCATGGTATTCAATTAACCTGATGCTCTTTAAGACCCTGACAGGACACTTAGCTTCACCCAGTTGGGAGCACTTCAAGGTGACATCTGTTGACATCCATGAATTTCTGGTTGGCACATTTGATTCCAAGCTTTACATTGGGAATAGACACAAATGTGTTTTGACTTTCTCTGTGTGTGTGGTACCGGGGTTTGAACTCAGGGCTTCCTGAGTTCAAACCTCTGCTGTTTGAGCCACAACTCCAGCCCTTTTTGCTCTGGTTATTTTGGAGATGGGGATCTTGTGAGTTTTGGGTTTTTTTTTTTTTTTTTTTGCCCAAGCTGGCCTGTAACCACAATCCTCCTTATCTCAGCCTTCCAAGTAAGTAGCTGGGATGACAGGGACGAGCCAACAGTGCCTGGCTACATTTTGTCTTTTAATCAACATATCTGATGTTGCACCTTCTCCGTGGAAAGTTTTTGAAATTAGCCCTTGAAATAAATTTAATTTTACACAAATTTGTCTCTGGCAAGTGCTTCCTGGCACAGTGCTTGGTGGAAGAAGGAGGAGAGGGAAAGAGGGCTCCAGATATGGATGTAGCAGAGGGGAGAGATTTCTTTAACTCGAGACATGGTCATTTGGGCTGGGGAAGTGATGTCCCCTTGAGTTACAGCACAGGGGAAGACTTGGGGGTGTCCATAGTTACCGAAAAGGGTGTTGGGACCTTGGAGAGAAGAGACTACAGTGAGGCAGGTAAGGGAGGAAGAGAGGGAGGGAAAAGAAGTAGGAGGAGGAGGGAAAGGAGGAGAGAAAGAGGGCAGGGATGTATACATGTGGTCACAGAGAAGGGCCCACTTGTGGCCAAGGGCCTGTTAAAAAGAGTGACATCAAGCCAGTTGCTTCCTATTTTGTCGGGCCATCTTCCTTTCTTTATGACCAACAACCAGGACAAGGATGCTGAGTTAGTTGTGTTTTGTGGAATCGGTTGTAGATAGTCTGCTGACCATGTGGGACAATGCAGAGGAGACAGACAAGAGCAGTTGCAGAATGGCCCCCGTGCTGGCAGGGACGGGGCTGCTGGTGAAGGACCCAGGGTGGAGCACGGGGGTCTCGGGAGACACAGCAAGGCGCCAGCAATGTGAAAGTCCCCACCTGGGAGCTCTGTGCCTGGCTGTCCCTGCAGAAACCCTGCTTCCTCCTCCAGCACCTCACTTGGGGACACTCCCTGCCCTGGATATGGCCTCACCTGGCTGGGTGGCCCAAGGACATCACAGAGGCAACCATTCCCCTCCTTTCCTGAGTCAACAGGAGGAAGGCTAAGAGCCTGGGCTCCCAGGCCGCCCTTCTGGACTCAGAGGCCTCAGGCCCAGATATTTGCTGAAAGAACGAGGCAAAGGAGTGCATGCACCTTGACAGGTCCTCAAAGCAGTCACATCCTGCAGCTGTCTGCAACACTGCCCTTCCGTTTTAGCAACCTGCTTCCTCTCCCCTCCCTCACTCAAGACCTTCCTCCCACCCCATCACCCTGAAGTCTGCCCCACACAACTCAGTCTGAGGGATTTCCAGGGGTGCCATCCCACCGGCCCAGTGGAGCAGCTGCGTGGGAAAGACTCAGAACAAGATCAGGGACATCACCACCACCATGAACTTGAGTGAGTTCTCCATTCTCTCTCTGTGTAATTGGGACCCTGGCTCTCAGACCGTTGCAAGGAGGAACTGAGACAAGGCGCACGGAGGTAGTCAGTACAGAGCCTGTCATAAAAGTGGCGGAGGCTGCAGCAGCCATCTGTCATATGTCTTTAAGGAGATGGGACGGGGGATTGTGGGGACAGGGTCTTTAAGGGGCATGATGGAGGAAGAATCACAGCATTGAACACCACCACGAGTGAGACTCTGTTTCACACCGAGTGGTTACATCTATCCTCACAGCAGCCTGGCAGGGACACACTGACACAGCCCCAAGTGACATACCAGGAAATCTAGACTTAGGGATTCTGGGATTCCCCCAGGATGCCCACAGGAGGAGGCGAAGCTGAGTGGGGGAGAAATGAGGTCACTTCCTCTCAATTCCGTCAGTCCACTCACTGAAGAAAGAAGTTAATTGGCTCTTGATCTCTTGAGTTATTTAGGTAACAATTCTCCCCACAAGCAGAGTCTTTATGTACAAGGACCTCAGTCTCCCCATCATGGAGTGTTTCCCCCCCCGCCATGTTGTCGTCCAGTCATGGTATGTGTGATAAATGACTCACACAAAGAGAACCTTAAATCTCTGCATGTTATGAAGGGGAATCCAGAAGCCAGTGAACAGGGTTGGGGCTCTAACTTCGGATCCACCAAGCATCACTCCTGCCTTTCCACAGGGTCAACAAGGGCCCTGAACACCAGCTTCTCTCTGCCAGAGCCGGGAACCTGGGTTCTGCCACTGCAGACACCCGTGTAGGATGCAGAAGGACACACAGCCCACCTGCACATCCCCTTACCTGGGTGCAGGTGTGCAGGGTGTGGCCAGAAGAGCCCGAGGAGTTCTCTGTCTCTTCTAGACTCTTCTGAGGCTCACTGTCACTTTTGAAGTATTTTCTGGGTGGCGGCTTGGGCTTGGAGGACCTTGACTTTCTCACCAAAATCTCAAAGGATTTCCTCAGTCTCAGTGGTGGGTGGCCGTCCAGGCTTTCGGGGAGAGGCGGGCTCTCCTCGGGTGGCCTGGCTGGTGCCAGGAGAGGCAGCCCTGGCTCCTGCCCCAGGGTCAGGCTGGGGCTGTGCCTGCTGCCCTCCAGTTCAGAGGACTGGCACTCTGCACCGCCACTGCAGGGACTCCCGCCTGGGGACCCGGACATGTAGCTGCTGTCACTGCTGGAGCGGACCATGACCTTCTGAGCCCTGCGATGAGGGGGTGCTGAGTTCTTTTCGCGCTCCTTCTCCACAGTGGGCCGTCCATGCCAGCTGCTCTCCAGCCTTTTGACACCTGCACGGGAGGCACAAGGAAACCACTGCGGCTGAGACTTGGAAGACAAGACACTCCTGTTTGCCCATGACTACAATGCATGCCCAGCTGCCAGTGCCCAGCCTAGGCCATTTTGGATTTGGAGCCAGAGTCCCTCAGGTTTGGTCCCCAAAAAGCAATAGCTCTGGGTTTGAAAAATCACTCAACCTTTCTGAGCCTGCAAAGGTGGGTGCCATTCAGATCACCCATCTTGTCCCAGCTCTGAGGAGATGGTTGAGGATGGCTTTCAGCTGTTGAGCCCCTCCAGGAGCTGCCTCAGCCGAGAGCGCCATCTTGCCAACGGAGCGGCCAAGGTCCAGCGGTTGGTAAAGATGGGTTAGAGAAGTCCAGCATTGCAGCCGACTCATTGCAGCTGACTCAGGCCAGCTTTACTGGACCATGATGGCTGCAGGGCCCTGGGGTTGGCCAATGTCAACCCAATGCCGCCCTCTGCCCAGTTGTGCCTCCTCCCCTTCAACACCTCATCCTGTAGGTGTTGATGCTCAGGAAACCTCCTTAAAAACTCCTGAGCCTTCCTGAGGAGCTGAACCCGTGCACTCCATTTCCGCATCTATAAAATGGGGAAAATTCCACGGTTTCTGGGCTTATCTGAGGCTCAGTATCAAAGAGAGTATTGAAGAGGTGCTTTGAAGCTTACACCAACAAGTCATCCTTTCTTTCCACTGAAGATGAAGTGAGGCCACCACCCCCAATCTCCCTTTCCCTTCCCCACATATTTTCCTGTACTAGGGCCACCCACACATCCACAGGAGGCCCCTCCCTCACCAAAGGTGCCTCTGTCCTGGAGCCCAGCTCATTCTGTGAGCCCAGAGGAGCCCCACGGAGAGCACCAAGAAAGTTTTCTTTTGTTTCTTCTGGTCATGAAATAACACATGCTCTTTGGAGAAAGGTCATCCACAGAAAAAGGAAGGAATGAAAGTCAGCCTTCTCTGTGGACTCACTGTTAATATTTGGGTGAGTTTCCTTGTCTTGAGCCAACAAGCTCGCTCACACCTGTAATCCCAGATACTCCAGAGGCAGAGAGTGGGAGGATCTCAGTTTAAAGCCAGTCCAAGCAAAAAGTTAGTGAGTCCCCATCTTGACCAGTAAGCCAGGAACAGTGGTGCACACCTGTCATCCCAGGTACACAGGAGGGGTAGGTAGGAGGATCTTGGTCGGAGGCTGGACTCAGGCAAAAATGTAAAACCCTATGTGAAAAATATCTAAAGCGAAAAAGGGCTGGGGTGTGGCTCAAGTGGTAGAGCACCTGCCTAGGAAGTGCAAGGCTTTGAGTTTAAACCCCAGTGCCACCAAAAAGTTTTTTGAAAAGATAACAAGAAAATCTTGTACCTTCCACACAAAACAAAAACGTGAGCGGGTGGCTCCTGTCTTTCAACTTTCTATGTCCCCCGCTTGTGTGTGACAGCGATTTCATGTTCCTGAGGTGGAGAGTGCATTGACGGCTACACCCTGAGCTTGCTTTTTTTTTTTTTGCAGTACTGGGATTTGAACTCAGGGCCTACACCTCAAGCCACTTCACCAGCCGTTTTTGTGAAGGGTTTTTTGAGACAGGGTCTCATGGAACTATTTGCCTGGGCTGGCTTTGAACCGTAATCCTCCTGATCTCTGCCTCCTGAGCAGCTGGGATTACAGGTGTGAGCACCATCATCTGGCTAACTCTGAGCTTTCTAAGAAGGAAAAGTCATCTCAAGTCCAAGTTCATGTGTCCCTTACCTTCCAAACTCCACTGGTGCCGCTCCTTCCCAAACCTGCTGTTCTCCACGGCCTGAGTCACAGCTTCCTTGAGTTGCTGCTCGGAAACCTAGAAAATATGGATCACCCCCTCAGATATCGATCACCCCTCATCTACTGATCACCCCTCGAATGAATGCCGGGCAGAAACCCCTGCATTGGGCTCCAGGTGCAGGACCAGCCATTCCCTGGATTCTGTTTTCCTTCAGCTCACTCTCAAATACCTGACCACAATCGCTTCCAAAGAGCCCTGGGCGCCGCCGACGCCCTGAGAACTGTTCCCAAAGTGGCCCCTTGGCCTCCAACCTTCTCCTGAATGCTTGCCACAAAACTCCAGCGGGTTACCATTTCCCGGTCCACCTCTGCAAGCCATCCTGTGACATCACCGCCATCATCACCGTGCCGTGACCTCACCATCGCCATAATGGTGTCTGCTCTGTGCCCCTCAGGTCCTTCTCCTCGTTACAGCAATGGTTGGGGTGTGACTCAGAGTCAGAGAGACTTGGGTTCAAGTCCCACTTCCCCACTGTCTGTTCAAATATCCTTCTACGAGTTACTTAACCCTCAAGTCTCGATTTCCCCTGCTATAAAATAATGACAATCATAGAACCCGCTTCACAGTGTGGAAAGAGGATATTTTACAGGGCAAGTCATTCGGAACTAAAAGTATAGGGAAAAATAGATAAAACTGACCAGGGTCAAAATTTAAAAGTACGTCAGGCAGGCAGAGTGGCTCAAGTGGTAGAGCGCCTGCCTGGCACACGTGAGGTTCTGAGTTCGAACAGCAGTATTGCCAAATTTAAAAAAAAAATTTAAGAGTGTACATTAGAAGACACAAACAAAAGTTAAAAGGGAATGCTTGGATTAAAATAAAAACACATTCAAGTCATCTATCCAATAAAAAGTTGAAATCCAGAATACATGAAGAAATGCCTACAACTCAGCCACAGAAAACAAGAACTCAATTTAAAAACTAGCAAAGGTTTGGAGCTGACATTTCTGCAAAGATATACTTATCAGCAAGCACCTGAAAAGATGTCGGACATCATTAACCACCAGGGAAATGCAAACCACAAACACGATGAAACACCGCTCCATGCCCACTGGGATGCATGCTAGAAAAAAAATAACAGCACCTCAGAGGATAACAAGTCCTGCCCTGTACTGGTGCCCATGTCTGTAATTCCAGCTGCTTGGGAGGCTGAGATTGGGAGAATCGAGGATTGAGGCCAGCCTGGGCAAATAGCTCTTGAGGCCCCATCTCCAAAGTAACCAGAGCAAAATGGACCAGAGGTGTGGCTCAAGCCACAGAGCGCCTGCTTTGCAAGTGTGAAGCCATGAGTTCAAACCCCAGTCCCACCAAAACCAAAGGCATAAATAAAAAGATAACAGGTCTTGCCAAGGACATGCAGATGTCGGAACCCTGTGTACTGCTGATGAGAAGGTGAAATGACACGGTGTCTGTGGAAAGCACTATGGAGGTTCCTCGAACACTTAAAAACAGAATTACTATATGACAGCAATTCCATTTTGGGCATTTGCCCAACAGAACTGAAATAATTATCTCAAAGCAATGTCCCTGCTCTGTGTTCATCACAGAATCGTCACACAGTCAAAAAGGAGAAGAACCAAAGTGTTCGCACAATGGAGTACTACTCAGCCTTCAAAAAAGAAGGGGATTCTGACACAGGCTACACATGGATAAACGTTGAGGACACCATGCTAAGTGTGATAAGCCAGTCGCAAACAACAAATACTGTGTGATTTCACTTACATGAGGTATGTCAAGTAGTGAAAATCATAGAAACAGTGACCAGAAGGTGTTAACCAGGGGCTGGGGAGGGGAAATCGAGAACCATTGTTTAATGAGTGTGGAGTTTCAGTTTTGCAAGATGAAACTTGGTGGTGGTGGCTGCACAACATGTGAACATGCTGAATTAGAGATGTACGTTTTAGCCAGGTGTGGTGGTGCACGCCTGTAATCCCAGCAGGAAGATTAACAGTGGGAGGCCAGCCTGGGTTACATAGTGAGACCCTGTTTCCCCTAAAACATGGGTTCATGTTATATGGATTTTATCACAATAAAAGAACAGATAATCACTTAAAATACTGAGTTAGTGCTGGGCGAGCTCTTCACACGTGTCAGTTATCCTCAAACAGCACCTGCTTGGTCAAGACCCCCCACTTCAGCCTGGAGGAACCAGAGGCTCTGAGAGCCTAGAAGACCCCCACGGGCACCGCTCCTGAGTGGGCGTGAGCCAGGCACTCAGATGCTACACGGGGCTCCCTTAATTTTCTCTGGAGAAAATCTTTGGGTGAACCCTTCTCTCCTGCACCCCTTAGGTCTTCCTCTCCGAATTGCATTCATTTCTGCATCAGTCAGTGTCTTTGTGGCGAACGTGACCTTCTTGGGGACTCTGTACGAACGTTCTCGTCTATCTCTCGGTGAGGACCTCCATTCCGACCTTCCCACGGTGGGCACCCGCTAATGAGCTCATGACTGAATCTCTTGTGCTGACCCGCTGGGACCCTGGTCTCTGTCCTCCTTCCCGGAGCGTTTGCTAAGTGATGCCCTGAGTTTCTGATGTCTGTCTGCGAGGGTCCTGACGTCTGCTGCAGAGCTTGCTGGCACAGACGCTGGCACAGGCTCTTGGGAATCTGGGACCGAACCAGCAGACTCGTTTGCACCCGTTCTTGGTCCTGAAGGACTGAGCCTGGAGCAGCCCAGTGGGATGCTGGTTACCTGTGCGTCCGGATGTCGGCTGACGATGATGGGGACAGGACCGGGACTGCAGTGACTCAGAATGGCGTAGACCTCATTGAGCGTCAGGCAGTGCACGGGGGAGCCATTGATCTCCAGGACCTCATCACCACATCTACAACGGCACCCGCAGGAAGCCATCAGAGCAGAGCGCTAATGAACGTGACCCCTGGGGGGTCCCCGTTCCCCACACCTTACCACCTCTGCATGTAGACCTCCCTCGCAGCCTGGCTGCCATGATTCACACCACAGTGGCCCACAGGGTCACCCACAACCCTCCTCCTTCTTCACGCTGTCAGCTACACCTAGTCAGGTTGAGGGTTTAACTCATCTGAGATCCACCAGTTAATCACGAGTGAGGCATCATGACCTCCCTTTGGGCCTCAGTGTCCCCATAGGAGGAAGGATTGGACAGGACTGCTAAAAAGTAAAGAAGACATAAGGATGGATGACAATGGAACTCATTCTGGTTTTAAGGCGACGGGAGGTACCACGGCTTAGAGTTTGCCTCCCTACAAAGGTCCCCGTGTTGAAGGCTTGGTCTCCGCCCGGTGCTATGGGAAGTGGTGGAAGCTTTAAGAGGAGGGACCCAGTGGAAGGTCACTGGGTTACTGGGGTGTGCCCTGAAGGGGACATGGGACCCTGCCCCCTCCTCTCGCTCTTTTACACATTTTGGCTGTGAGAACAGTTCAGTCCACCATGGCCTCCCCACCCTGACATGCTGCCTCACCACCGGCCCAGATCAGGTGTGGACTGGAACCCCAGAACTGTGCGCCCCACTGAGCGTCTCTTCTTTTAGCTTCTGTTTAGGGTAACTGAACGCTGACCGACTTGGCAACCCCAACAGGAGAAGAACAACACCTGGAGGATTTGTACAGTCCAACCACCTTCCCATCACAGATGGGGACACTGAGGCACAAAGGTGACATGATTTCCCTGACACAACCTAGCTCAGACATTGTTTTTTTTCTGTAAAGGGTTTTGTACCCTGCACCATCTCTGTCACAAGTACTCATTTCTGCTGCTGTAGGATGACCGCTGTTTCCAGGGACAACACAGACACATGTGCAGGGCTTTGTTCCAATAAAACTTTATTTAAACACAACAGGTGATGGGCGGCGGCTTGCAGACCCTGGCCTTGCTGGTTTTCCACACCCTGGGATGGGAGCTCAGACCTCCTGGGGCTGTTTTCCCTCCACATCGTCTGCTGCTTCCTTCTGCATTTCTGCTGAGCTGTCCCCTCCACCCTTGCTAAGAAAGTACACGTTTTTACTGATGTAACTGAAGGCCACTGTCATGTCCTCCAGATGCCAAGGAAAGCAGGGGTTTTCTGAGCATCTACCCCACTGCGATCCTGAAGGATGCACTGTCTGTCCAGGATGAAGGTATTGCCCCAACCCTCCAGCAGCTCGGCATGGCAGCTGTCACCCTCCCGCAGAAGACAGTGGCAGATCCTTGTCTAATTCTGTACCTCCATCAAGATGCCATCTGAGCCGGGCACAGTGGCTCACACAGGTAATATCTGTGACTTGGGAGGCAGAGATCGGGAAAATTGAGGTTCTAGGCCAGCCCCAGCAAAAAGTCAACAAGACCCCATTTCAACCAGTAAGTCTGGTGTGGCGGCACACACCTGTGGTCCCAGCAATGCAGGAGGTGCAGATAGATTGATTGCTGTCTGAGGCCAGCCATGGGCAAAAATGTGAGACCCTCTCTGAAAAATAACTAAAGGGCTGAGGATGTAGCTTGGGTGGCAGAGCACCTGTCTAGCCAGTGCAAGGTCCTGAGTTCAAATCCTAACACCAGCCAAAAAAAAAAAAGATACCACCTGACACAGGGCTTGCCATTCCATATACCACGATCACAGGAAAACTTTTTTTAAAAAATAGGGCAAAACTCTCCTGACTTAGTAAAACCCAATCCCAGTGAAAGGAGATATATTTGTACCATATGCAAATGCTGGAGTGAGCAGAAAGTACTTTAACAAGTTAAATTGAGATAAAACATTTTTACTAAAATAAGATCATATATTATAAAGAAAATTTAGATGTGCACTTCCTTAGGTGTGACTTGTAAAGAAATATACCTGGTGTGCCTGGAGATATTTTGTTATGCCAGACAAAGGCTGTATTTACACAAGTGATTTTCTTAGAAAACTGTTTTTCCCACCGGGCTCACAGGTAAGCCTCGTGGAGCCCCCTGTTCACGCTGGTGTGAATTCTCAGTTAGTGGGGCTGAGTTTCAGCTTTAAGGTTTTCTTGGAGGCCATGCTTCTCAAACGCCAAGTGCATACAAATCTCGGGGTCCTTAAAGTGCACACTTGGACTCAGGAGCTCTGGGGTGGGCATCAGATATTCTGTATTTTCTCTCTCTGTCTCTGTCTCTCTCTTTCTCCCTCTTCCTCCTCCCTCCCTCTCTCTCTTTCTTCTCCCTCCCTTATTCTGTCTTCCTTTCTCTGTCGTGTTCTCCTCCTTCTCCTTCCTCCCTCCCTCTTCCTTTTTCTGTCTCTCTGTTTCTCCCTCCTCCCTCCCTCCCTTCCTCTCTCTCCCTCTCTCTCTGCCTCTCTTTCTTCCTCCTTCTCCTTCCTTCTTCCCTCCCTCCCTTCCTTTCTCTTTATCTCCCTCCCTCTCTCTTTCCCTCCCCTGTCTTTTGGGTGCTGGGGACTGAACCCAGGGTCCACCTGACACCTGGAGGAGCAAAGCTCTGATCCATGGACCATCTGAACATCTTGTCCCCAAATCCATCTCCAGACGTTCTGTGGCACCCCATCCCCTGTCATAAGTCAGGTCTGCTCAGAACAGAAGTGAGGACCTACCGCAGACGTCCATCCAGATGCGCCACGGACCCCGGGGACAGTGTGTGAATGAAGATGCCCGAGATGCACTGGAAGTAGGGGACGCTGCACAGGCCGATGCCCAGGCCTACGCCAGCCTCTGGAAGGCAGGATGGGGTGGGGGGAGAGGCGTGAGGTCCCAGCGCACTGGCCTTAAGGTCAGTCATGACATCCACTTCACCTGTATTTGTGGGGTGTCCACCATGTGCAGTTGCTGCTTAGGGTCAGACAGGGAAAGCGATGTCAGTTCAAGTGGGGGAAGACCAGGAAGGAGGGAGGGAAAGGAGGGAGTGGGGAGGGAGGCAGGATGGAGCCATCAGACTTTCTCATGCAGAGAATGAATGGGGAAATGTTCTAGAAAGTGACAGGATAGCAGTTCAGCCCCAGAGGAGACCGCAGTAGGGATGACAAGAGTGAGCCAGGGCTAAGCAGAAAGAGCCAATGTCAAGGCCAAGGCTGGGGAGAAACACGCCATCTTGCAGGTCCAGAAATGCCAGAGTGGGCCCAGCATGGCTGATCACAGGAAGTGGTGTGAAGTGAACAGAGCAGAAACCAAGGGCCAGGTTACAGGGCCACACAGGCATACAAGGGCAAAAGGCCACTATTCTGACCGAGATGGGAGCCTCAGGGGAGTCCTGAGCAGGAGATGACGGGCTCTACTCTCTCTGGTTGAGAATGGAAACAGATCTGGGACCACACTCGTGGCTCACACCTGTAAGGCTGAGATCAGGAGAACCAAGGTTTGAGGCCATCCAGGCAAGGAGTTCCTGAGACACCCCTCCCCACACACACTCCAAAATAACCAGAGAAAAATGGACTGGAGGTATGGCTCACCTGCTTTGCCAGAGCAAAGCCCTGAGCTCTAGACTATGGTGGCATGGATTCCTTGCTGGTGAGGACAGAGAGAAATAGGTGTGCATGGAATGCAGTTTGAAGGCAGGCTTGCTGAGGGATAAAATATGGAGATTTAATAAATAAAAATCAAAGTAACTCAGAGGTGGCTTTGGCTTCAGTAGCCACCAAGCAGGAAAGTTTACCAAGTTTACCAAGCAGGAAAGGTGAGGGAGGGTGGGACATGAGGCTGAAGATCAGGGGTTCAGTTTTGCCCAGCTTGCACCCCTGATCCTGAGAGGTCCCCAGGTGGATGAGGGTAGCACAAAGCTACACAGGGAAGCAGAACCCAGGGCAGACAGCGGGTGGAAGTTACAAGTCAGTAGCAGCAGGCAGGTGGTGTTCCAGCCTTGGGGATCCCCTGGAGTGTGGAAGGGAGGACCAGGGACTTGTCCACTTGGAAAGGCCTAGGAGACAAGAACCAGCTGACCAAGAGGAGATGGGGTGGCCAGGGACAGGAGGAAGACCTTCTTTAGGGTTTTCTCTGGTACAGGTGACATACCACACATTTTGGTGAACACTTTCACCTTTCCATGCTGGTTCTCCCTACAGCCCCATAAGGGGAGCCACAGGCCGTCACTACTCTATAGGGGAAGAATCTTGCCTGGGACGTGGACTGTGAGCAAAGTTCAGAGCCCATCCCAGCATCCAGGCTTCCCGACAGAGCAAGAGATCTCCAGCCTGATGGGCATCGGAATTGCCTGGGGTTCTTACTTAAAATGTGCATGTCTGAGCCTCACCCACTGTTGAAGAAATGCCTTTGAGGTAAAGTCTAAGAAGCTGCTTACTTAAAGCAAGCAAGTAGAAACCTTCCCCAGGTGTTTCTGATGTGACCAGCAAGGCCCCGCCTCATCCATATCCAAGGCACTCAGTGACTCACTGCAGGAGCCCGGTTGGCAGCACCCAGCAAAGTCCTGTGGGCACCCAGCATTCACTTGTGCCAAGCACTGTGCTAGCTTGGGATTCATGGATGTCTGAGGCCTCGAGGACCTTGCAGCCCAGTAGGAGAGCTCAGTAATGCATCAGACAAGCGCCTGTGCCAGGGTTAGCTCCTCCCTCCCCCTTCCCCCACTTCTCAACACATCTCAATCCATCCCCTTCTGCCCCCAAAATCTGTTCCTCCCTCCTCTGACATGAGTGACCCAATGTGGTGTCTGAACCTCCACTGTGGGATCCTGGGAGACACTGTTCAAAGCCTGAGCTGGTGTGTCACCCATGCCTAGGAATCCTTAAATGACTTCCAGTGTAATTAGAAGAGACTTGATCTGCAAAGTCTCACAGGGCCTCTCTCTCTCTCTCTCTCTCTCTCTCTCTCTCTCTCTCTCCTCTCTGTCTCTCTGCCAACTGCTCCGATGTCACTGATCACACTTCCCATCTTGCTCTGCCCTTCCCTCAATTCCTAGAACACAAGCCGGTCCCTCTATGGAGCCCAGGTGTGTGCCTCCCTGGTCCTCTTCATCCCGCTCTCACTCAGTTGCACTTGGGCAGAGTGGGCCTCGCCAGCCCTCTGGAATTAGCCATCCACCAGGGGTGGGAAAAAATGGCTGTGGATCCCTGAATATCAATATCAGAGCTGGAACCTCAGTTGTCCTGCACAGGTAAGAAAGTGAGCCCAGAGAGGGGAAAGAGACCTGCCCAAGGTCTCTTAGCATGTTAGCCACAGAGCCATAGCTCCTGTTCTCTCTCTGTCTCTTTGTCTCTCTGTCTGTCTCTCTGTCTCTCTCTCTCTCTCTCTCTTTTGTTTTACTTTAACCACTACATCAGAACACACTGCCCGGGTCTGGGTGGTCCCCTTGAGCTTCTGTGAACAAAGAACTAGACCTTGTAGCCAAGCAATCATGAACTCTGCTAACTGACAGCATACTGCCCAGTCCCTGGGCTGATTTCTGATGGAGGGAGCCTAGGCACCTCAGCTTTCCAGTGTTTTTGACCCTGCAGGAAGGAGAGGAGCTGGGAGACCCTGCAGGTGGCCCTCCTACCTTTCTTCAGGGAAACCTCCACCATGATTCTGTAGTTAGGCTTGGCGGTGCTGGCGAGGGACGTGGGACTTTCCAGGGTGAAGGGGCTGCTGTCCTTGATCATGCAGGTGCTGGAGCTGAGGGAGCGGCACAGTGGGGGTGACAGGTGGCTGCCCAGGGGCGGGGGCGCCGTCAGGCGGGTCCTCACTGTGAGGGTGAGCAGCCCCTTCTTGGCTTGCTGAAAGGAAAGAGAGTGTAGCAATGGTCAACAGCAAGTCTAGGACAGGTGAAGAAAACCCTCCTGCCAGCGGGAGAGGGAGGTGAAAGAAGGAAGTTAGGAAGGTGGAGATGGCTGATGCACTTTCTGTACAAGAATAAGTACAGAATATTTAAACCTGTTGAAATCACCATAAGAAGGGAACGAAGGTAGAAAGGAGGAAAATGGAGGGGATGAACCAATTCTGGTTATAATGCATACATACGTGGAAATGTCACAAGGAAACTCCCTGTGTAACTATCTTAAACAAACAAAAATGTCTTTTTTCTTTCAAAATCAGAGAACAGAAAGGCAAATCAGGTCCTGTCTGGGGTTAGCACCAATGGGAGGATATAAGGAAAGGGTGTAGGAGGGTGAATGTGGTGGAATATTATGCACTCATGTATGAAAATGGAAAAATGAGACCTGTTGAAACTATTCCAGGAATGGGGGAGGAGGATGAAGTTGGATGATGGAGTGGTGAATTTAACTAAGATGTGTTGTAAGAACTTTCGTAAATGTCCCGTGTACCCCCAGTACAACACTAATATGACTATAAACATTAAATTCAATTAAGGAAAAAAGAAAACTTCCTTCTGTGAGTTCATAGCCATAAAATACTTCTTAAAGAAATGCCGCTGTGTGCAATGTACAAACCTGTATGTTTTTCCTATGTGTGGCATTGTTAAATTTGACACATGGATATTCACACATACATAAATACATAGCACACACTCCAGACTGTCTTGAACATAACTAGAGAGAGATTCAAGGACATCTTTTAGTGATGGCTTAAAACTCAAAACACATTTACTAGATCATTAGCGTCACTGCAGAGTATTTCAGCACAGCTCACTCAGCTGACAGCCATTCTGATCCTCACCATTACTTTCTGACTAAGTTCTTTTCAAACTCCATGCCCCAGGGCCATGCCTGCTGGGCTCCCCATGTGGAGAGTCCTACATACTTAATTTGTGGGTCTGGATGAAGGAGGTGATGCAGAGGTTGGTACCGTGGCCCGAAAGCCAAATGCTGATAAGAAATAGTCACCTTGAATTTCTGCAGGGCGTCCTGGTGCGTTAATCCAGCCATCGATTCACCATTGAGCTCCAGAATTTCATCACCTGGTGGGAGGGAAAAGCAGTGGCTAGGAATGGTATGGCTTGCCAAGGAGCAACGTCCATGCCTTGGACTCTGGTCTCCCCAGCTGCCCAGCTTTTGGCACAGTGCCAAGCACAGGAATGAACACTTCCTCATTCCTCATGCCTGGTGCAGGCAGGACAGCAGTAGGGGCCTCTGGCTCCTCTTGCTTTCCAGGTGACATGGAGACCTGGCCTGGTGTGGCCTCTGCCTGGCTTCACGTCCACCCCCTGCTTCACCTGCAACCACTGCCTCCCTGACTCTCCCACCAATTATCTTCCTATGTAGCCTGACCTGCGTTTTACACGATGGTCTATGCGGCTAAACACCACTTCCCTGACATTTTCCAAAACACACTTCTCCTATCTTCCTCACCTTTCAGCCCCGCCACTTTTGTCTTTGTCTTTGCTCATGGCATTCTGTACCTCTCCCTGTCACAGCTGTGACCTTCAAAGTCACCTGTGAGCCAGGGGGTAGCTCCTCAAGGGATGGACTTTGTCTTTGAGGATATGGACCCCCGTGCTCCTTAGGTGGGTATAGAGGTGACGTTTCCAGAAGGCCAGGTAGGCCCCACCTACAGAGAAGAAGACTGAGCTCAGAGAGATCCCGCATCACGCGGCAGGAAGAATGGGGATGTGGTTCTTTTGACTCCAGGTCCTTTCTTCATATTGTACTCCTGGGGAAATTACTCTTTCCTCTATGCAGAAATCCATTTTCGATGCACAAACAAGGAGTACATTCTCTCTGTTGTACTGAGCAACTCAAATGCAAATGCCATTTTTACACTGACTTCCAGGCCTTGTTATTCATGGATCTGTGGTTGTCTAACTACAGTTCCATTATACATAATTTCTCTGGTTACCTAAAAATTTTTTTGGCCAAGCACAGTGGCTCATGTCTACAATCCCATCTACTCAGGAAGTAGAGGTAGGAGGATTGCAATCCATGACTGGCCCCAGACAAAAGTGCAAAACCCTACCTGAAAAAAATAACTGAAGTGAAAAGGGCTGGGAGTATGGATCAAGTGGTAGAGTGGCTGCCTAGCAAGTGCAAGGCCCTGAGTTCAAATCCAGTACGGCTCCCCCCCACACCCCGCCCCCCGCCAAAATGATTTTTCCCCTTTCACCTTTGCTATTCTGCCGTTCCACTGTGAGGTTCTGGGGTGGGAAGAAGCTCTGTACTTCCTTAAAGGACTTTCTCGTGCCTTAAATCAGTTCTGGAAAATTGGAAGTCACTATGTCTTTGCATATTGTCCCTCTGTTTTCACTCTGTGTTCTTCCTAAAATCCCTAGCTGATGTATTTTGGGTGTTTTTAACTGTTTCTTTAATGTGAACCTTTTTCTTCTTCTTCTGGTCAACCAGTCAACCCCCAGGCTGCCATTCTTCTTAAAGCTGCCTCTACCCTAGTGTCTAACGTATCCATTGAGATTTTTATTTCAGTGACTATACATTCTTTTAAAATTCCAGACGTTGCTGTCTTTACATTGACCTAATTTTTTGGGTGTCCCGTCCTTACCAAGCCAAAGTGACTCTGAACATAGTGAGTCAATGGTGTCTCCATTGTCTCAAGCGGCTGAGAGCCAATGCTCCTGTCTGTCTCTGCTGATCCGTCTTCACATGACCATTTCCTGATCTAGTAATTTTTTTTCTAGTAATTTCACATAATTTTTACTGTGAACTCGTTTTTCCTCGTATTTCACTTTCCCTGTGGGATTCCCATATCCCCTGATCACTACCAGTTTTTCCCTTTTTTTTCATTAGGTACCCCAAGGGTTTCACTGCCTGAGAACCAACTTTAAAATTGGCTTCCCAGTTTAGAAGCTCATGTACTCCACAGAGACTATAAATATAGCCCGGCTGCCCATACAGACTTTGATCTCCATTTTCTTGCAAAAGATGGTCTCCCCACTCAACAGTCATTGGTGAACTTTCCATTGCTTCCTTCCGTGGGACCTGGACTTTCTCGGGGGAGGGAGCCCTTTTGCGAAGGTTCTCAGAGCCTCACATAGACCAAGGCCCTGTCCTCTGTCCCTATAAGGGCATTCAAATCCTTGTCCCGGACTTTAGGGTCTATGGCAGTGCAGTAGCCCCTGGGTCACCATGTCATCCACTGCTAAGTTTGCTACACTTAAAATTAAAGTTGCTTCTTTATTTTCTAGTAGCCAGTCGCATCCATGTCTTTCTTTTGAGTTCAGATATGCTATTTTATTCAACGAGTCTATGTGTCAAAGTAGAGGGCGGGCAAAGGAGGGGGAGCACTCAGAGCAGCTCAGGATGGCAGGTCGCAGGGACCAACCCAACATGAAACATGAAGGGACCCAGTCCTGGTCCTGGTGAGACCCCAAGTCCAGGAGTCTCACATTAAAAATATCCTTCTGAGATAGGCACCAGTGACTCATGCCTGTAATCCTAGCTGCTCAGGAGGCAGAGATCAGGAGGATTGCAGTTCAAAGCCAGTATATAGTTCTCCAGACCCTATCTCAAAAAAAAAGAAAAAAATCACAGAAAAAGGGCTGGTGGCGTGACTCCAAGTGTAGGTCCTGGGTTCAAACCCCAATACCACACACACACACACACACACACACACACACACACACACACACACAATCCACATGAGGGGACTATAGGAAGGAGGGAGAGGAAAAGAAAATGATAAGGAGTGAATCATGTTGAAATGCATATGAAGACAGTGTAACACAATCCACTGTAAGCCGTTGAATAATAGGGGAGCAGAGTGACAGAGTAAGTAATGGAGTAAATCTAATTAAAGCATGATATATACATGTTTAAAACAGGTCCTGTGGGGCGGGGGAGGTACCAGTGGGAGGGGAAGGGAAAACCAAGATGACGAAGGAGAGCGAATTTGGTGGACGCATTTTGCATTTGTGTGTGAAAATAGAACAATCAAGCCTGGCGAAATCATCTTAAGAGGCAGGGGGGTGAAGGCGGACGATGGAGGGAATGAATCTAATTAAGATACATTGTAAGCACTGTTGAGTGTCGCAAAGTACAACTGTTGTATATGAATTTTATAAAGTCAAAATATAATTAAATACGTGCTGGGAAAAGGACAGATAAAGAAGGCCTTCAGAGGTCCATTCACAATCACTAAAAGACTGAGCTTCCCAGGCTAGGAAAGCCTCTACCCCAAAGTGGCTTCATCGTCTACCTCGGGGCTCTTCTGTCCCGTCATTATTCAGCCATATCTGGTGAAAATTGATCGGCCTAGGTTTTGTCAAGTACATCTTATGCAATCGCTTTTTGGAAGAGGAATAAAAACAAGTCATCAGTAGCTTTGATTGTCCAACAAACTTTTGTCACAACCAGTGTATCCCCGGGAACTCAAGGGGAGAGGCCAGAACTCCACTTTTGGAAGAGTTTACAAAAGACAACGTGGCCAATTATTTGAGACTGGAACCAGGAATTGTCTATTAAAGGGGTGTCTTAGCTGGCTGAAGTTCTCTGTTTTTATGACTGCTATGAAGTAAGGCTACAAACTTACTTACAGAAAAAATAATAATGAACTTGGCTTGGAAGGCTTGCACCCAGAAAATAAATCCAAACACTACAGTCTTTTCTTGCCACCTCTGCTCCTCCCCATGCTCTGTTTAACCCAGAAAAGGCACAAGGCAAACCATGGTAGCTCTGGATTTGAATCCCTCTTTCCTTCCTTTCTCTCTCCAGCTTCTGTTCTCGGCTGCCTCTAGATGTAGCTATTCCTCTAGAAGTCGCCTGTCCCTCTCCCCTCTTCTCTTGTGGTCTTCCCCCACTCTGTAACTTCAGCTGCTCCCCAATGTCCTGACCCCCCAAGTCCACATTCAACCCTCCCTCCATGGGCCCGGATCCAGGTGGACAGCGCCACCTAGTGGCAACCTGGGTACAAGACCCTGCCTTCGTCTAGCCCAAATCCTCCTTTGTCTACCTATTCCTCCTCAACCTCTTCCTGCACTGTCTTTCTCCAGTTGGCTGAGATCAGAAACCTGCACCTTTCCCTTGACCTTCATTTTCTGCTTCTGCTCTGGCTCAGTCACTTAGCTCACCTGTTCCTCTGTCCTCTCTTGGTCTATTCAAAGAAGTCTGGAGATCTGGAGCTGCCTGCCCCCTACCCAGCCCCTTCATTGCCCCTCTCACTTCCGGTCTCTCCACAGTCCACTACATCCTACAGTGTTGCTTCCTGAATCATCCAAACATGACAGCTGGTCCCCGCCCCCAACGTGATAAAACCTCCAAAATCTCGCACTGCCCACACAGCACAATCCATCCCTGATGCTGCATAACGATTGGGTTGGCAAACTTCTTCTGTAAAGAACCAAAAATAAATATTCTACTCTTTTTGAATCTCTCTTACCACAACTCATGACTCACAACTCACTGCTGTTGAAGCACAAACGTAGCCATGGATCAGGTAAGGAGGAAGCAGATGTGGTCCAACAAATCTTTTCTGTGACATTGAAATTTTAACCTCACTTAATTTTCACATGTCACAAAAGAATCAAAAATGGTCTGGAAGTTCTCAACACCATGTATAAATGTGGAAATCAGTGTTCACTCATGAGCAATATGAAAGCAGGCAGTGCAGTGGACTGGGCTGGGCTGTATCGGGCTTGCCCTCCTCTAAATGAGTTAGGTTATTAATGACAGTGAGGCTATTCGCACAGCTCACAGGCACTGCTGGACGGGGAAGAGTGGGCAAGATGGACATCATGTCTCTTTGACATCTTTGACATCAGATGGGTGAAGCAGTCCCTGCCCACACAGCTTAACCTCTGCTCCATGACCATCTTCCCATGAACTTTGCCTCCTAAAGCCCCAAGGTGCCTTTGGGCCAAGTCTGTTGTTCAATAACCCAAACATGACCTTGAGGTGGAGTTGAGGTTGGGGTGCCTGACCCTCCAGGACAAGAGGACAGGCAGCTCTGTTCCCTGGGGCCCCTCCTCCCAGGAGAGCTGGGGGCTTCAGTCCTATGAGTCATGAAAGAGCTGAGGGAGAAGGGTGGCAGAGGAGGAGGCTGCTAGCTGGAGAACGATTTGTCTTATCTGGTTCTTCTCAATTCCTAGATCCTACAGCTCTGTAGGTTCTCAGAAAATATTTTCCCTCACAAGATTAGACCTGGTTTTCTGTGGTCATAGGTAGAAGGCAGGGAGTAGGAAGGAAAGGGGGTGTCAGTGAGCCCCAGCAACTGGGAGAGGATGTTGAAAAGGAAGGGAAGACAGCAGACAGAAGGGTAAGGGAGGGGAGAGGCCAACCAGGCTTCTGTTCCTCTCAGGTTGGCGACTAGACCAGCTGAGAAGTAATGGCATCAGGGGCCCATGGAGGAGTCATGATGGAGTCGCTACTGCTTGAAGACCCCAGAATCCATGGCTGCCTTACTTTGAAGCTCAAGACACATTTTGCCTTCCTGGTATCTTCTCCAGCCTAACGATTCTGTTCTACCTTTGACTCCTCAGCCACACGCTGATCGGGGTCGGGAAATCTACCTTCTTGGAGCCTTCCATCAGCTGCTGCTGCTCCCCCTGCAAAGATGGTTTTCACGTAAATTCCAATGGGGCCATAAATGCTGTCCTTTCCCCCAACAATGCTGAAGCCCAGGCCCTGGGGAAAAAAGAGGAGAAGGTTGGATTTAGGGGTGTTCCATGCTGCTCCTTGGGCCAGTGTTTCCTGGGGGCTTGCCTCAGCCCTGAACAAAGGAAGAAGGAGGGAGACAAGGTGCCTTTAGGGTCAGAGTCACAGGACTTATCAAGGGGAGATGGCCAGCCTGGGCTGTATAGTATGTGAAGTCTTCATCTAAGGCTGGTGCTCTCCACACCAGTGCCCTGGCTCCATCTCTCCGGTAGGCAACTGTGGTCGCATCACTTTCTGATTCTCAGTCTCAATCTCCCCTTGTGAAATGATGATGATGTCACTAACATGCCTGGCATAAAAACATTGACCACAATAATAAGAGGAGCTGCTTACAATACAGGGGACATCCCTTCTTCTACCAAGGCTCTCCTCAGTTCGGTGCCCCACCCGCCCCTTCCCAAGGATGTCACTCTAGTCATGTGCCATCCCTCCTGCACCTGCACTGTCCTGCTCCCTGCTTATCCCCAGGAGCTGACAAGCACATCCTGGGCTGTGCGGGTGGCGCTGGGAGGAGCAGCTCAGACTCAGAGACAGCATCAGCTGTGGAGCAATCAGGCCAGCATGGGAATGAGGTCTGCAGTAGGAGAGAAAGGACAGAGGGTCTGGCTCTCCCCTACAGACCCTCCAGGGAGTTAACAGAATATGGTAATAAAAGAATACAGAAGACACCTTTCCCCTACCAAAAAGACCTCACTCCCCAACTGCTCCTTTGGAAGCAAAGGAGATGCACGTGGCTTGCATCATTTTTCTGAAAATGAAGGAGCTGCATGCATCCTTGGTGTGCTTAGTGTAGGCCTTGATGAACTTTTCTGTCAGGGTTTGGTCCCTCACTGGTGCTCAAGAAACACATGTTGTGGAATGAAACCTGGTCTTTGCGGTCAACACATAAGCATAGCAGTGGTGGCTTGTAGCTCCATTCCTACATAGACCTTAAAGCAATGGCTGCCACTGAAACAGATCCCTGTTTGTGAGCAAGTCACCTCAGGCCAGCAGCTGCCCACAGAGATGGCAACCTGTCAGCCATCTTCAAGATGCCAGAGGGAGGGTCTGGGTGTGGTGGTGCAGATCTATAATCCCAGCTAGGCAGGAAGTGGGGGTGAGGATCATGGGTGAGACTGGCCCAGAGAAAAGTGAGACAGTACATGAAAAATAACCTGAAAAAGCAAAAAAGGTATAGGACTTGGTTCAAGTGGTAGAGCTCTTGCCTAGCAAGCTAAAGTGGCCCTGAGTTCAAACATCAGTACTGCAAAAAACAACAAAACAAAAAACAACAAAAAAGTGGTAGAGATTGAGGTGCCCATGTGCCAGGCAAAAAGGCCATGTGGACGAGGTGCTGCTCTGTTTCTGGTGACGGTGGTGTGTGTTCTGGGATAGGAGAGACAAGTAGAGAGGTAGAAAAGTCCAGGGCTCCTCCCTTAGCACCCTCAGCCTGCTTCTGCTGAGACAGTGGGTCTAGACTCACCCTCTCCCTGACCCCGGTGAAGCCAGATGCCATAATGGTTAATGACAACACTGGGGTCATTATCTGGGGTCAGCTGCTCACTTCCCAAGTGTCCCTGGCAGGTTTTATAGCCTCCCAGGCTCTCAGTCTCCCATCCACAAAAGGGAGGTGACAGCAGGGCTGTGTGAGGAGAAAAGGGACTTCCTTTGTGAAGCTTTGGTACATGACCTGAATTGGGTCACTGGTTGATGTGACTTTGACTCTGCCACAAGCATATGTGATCCTTCTGGCTCTGATTTCTCCCCCTCCTGAGCTTAGCCCCAGCTCACTCCTACCTGTCATCCTGTTAGTGAGGAGGTCTTAGGTATGTCATATCAGCTGGACAGTGGGATCCTCCCTCATTTCTGAAACCATCTCCCTTGTGCTGTATGCCAGACTTCCTATACCAAACAACACCTCTCACCCCATCCCCAGGTCTGTAAAGATTATTTATTAAATGTGCATTTTATATATGCCAAGATAATCTAAACCGCCTTTGGTCATCTTCTCATGAGCTTTGGTGGCCTTTTCCATTTTATCTTCTTTTGAGCATTGCAAAAAAAAAAAAAAAAGATTAGCCATCATGTCCAAAGATGGTTAATCAAGATTAACCAAATTAACCATCATAAAGTACTTCTACCTAAATTCAAGGGGAAAAGCAAGCACTGTGATTTAAAATCAGAAAATAGGACTATGGAGAGGAAGGCATGTTGAATATGATCACTCCCTTGTGACTGATGACATTGACCAGCATTCCTCATACCTGACTTTTTCTCCCTGCTGAGATCCCAGGAGTGAGAAGGAACAGAAGATAGAAAGAAAGAGGGCTCCAGGTATGTGGCAGGTCCCTCCCCTAGAAAGACCATTGTAGCAACTGAGCTCTTCCCTCACACCACACACCTGAACCCTACTTCACACCACACACCTGAACCCTACTTCACACCACACACCTAAACCTTTACTTCACACCACACACCTGAACCCTTACTTCACACCACACACCTAAACTCTTATCTCACACCAACACTTAAACCCTTACCTCACACCAACACCTAAATCCTTACCTCACACCAACACCTAAATCCTTACCTCACACCACACACCTGAACCCTTACTTCACACCACACACCTGAACCCTACTTCACACCACACACCTAAACCTTTACTTCACACCACACACCTGAACCCTTACTTCACACCACACACCTAAATCCTTACCTCACACCACACACCTGAACCCTTACTTCACACCACACACCTAAACCTTTACTTCACACCACACACCTAAACCTTTACTTCACACCACACACCTGAACCCTTACTTCACACCACACACCTAAACTCTTATCTCACACCAACACTTAAACCCTTACCTCACACCAACACCTAAATCCTTACCTCACACCACACACCTGAACCCTTACTTCACACCACACACCTAAATCCTTACCTCACACCACACACCCTAACCCCTATCTCACACCAACACCTAAATTATAGTAGATAGACTGAAGAAGCCAGCCTTTTGTGGTTTTAGCACCTGAGTTTCAGGGCTGGATGGAGAACACCACAGTGTATATCGACTCTATTTTAGGAGCGTGTTGGCCCCCATGTTTGGGGGATTAGTTCCACAAAACCCTTGGGATGCTTCCTTATTCCCTCTGTTGACATTTCTCAATTATGGGGTAGAGGGGACGAGGTATGATGTCTCATCCTCTAGAGAGAGCTAGAGCTATTTCTGACTCTTCAGGAAGTTCCAACTGATGGCAAAAATTATAAACCACTGAATTACTCATATGTAGCCTGTGGCATGTGTTTAAAAATTGTTTATGAGGTCAGCTTTCTTCTACCAACATCTGAATACTGTAGGCGAAATTTGCACCTAAGATCTGTGCCAGTGATCTGGATTTATGGATCAGGTAAGACCAAGTCCTGGAAAATATCATGCCAGGAAGAAATTAGGGGAAAACTTTGAGAACACTAAAGTAGCTGGCAGGATGGGTGTCCTCACAAGAAAACAGTCACTTTATCTACTCAGAATGTGTGTTACTTGAAACTCAGCAGCCTCTGCCTTGAGAAGATCCAGCTCTCTTGTGTCACCTTTTTGTGTCTGCCCCTTGTGACAATTGTGATGCCTGGAGGCTCTGTTCCCACTGCGCCTTGAACATCGGCTCCTCAGATGCTGGCACTGCTCCGGGACTTCCCACTGACCATGGTCCTCACTTACCTTGGCCTGGCCCTTCATCAGCACAATACTGGAGATGACTGAAGCCTGGAGACCCCCAGAGGGCTGCCCGAGCTGGGCTGTGCTCAGGGACCGGGTCGGTCTGGAAGTGCCCTGTAATGAGGAACCAGAGTGGGCAGGGATGAGCCACATGGGACACCAGCCAAGGACAAACGCCCTTCCCTCAGGGCCATGGCACATGGACTGGACCATGGTTAGTGAGACATGGGTAGACTGTGGCGGGGAGGAGCTGGTGCTGGTGACCCTAAAAGGGAGTGGTGTTCAGCCTGACTTACCTGCAGACCAACAGCAATGGCTCACAAAGGCTTATCGAGCATGGAGGTCTGGGGGAGCCCCACAGACCTCACCACCCCAGGGTAAGTCCCCAAAGGCAAGGTCTCAAGTGGAATTTGAGAAGCCAACTGGCAAGAACACCCTCTACAGAGTCCTCAGTTCAAGGCATATTTACCAAGAATCCTGCTTGTGCCAGATGTGGGGCCATGGGCAAGAGGGCAGGAACCCCAAAACCAAAACCTCAGCACATGAATTTGTCCACCTCCCCCGGGAGGCGGACAAATGGTTAGCCTCTTACACAGAAAAGAAAGTGTGTCCAGCAGACACAGGTGCTGCGTGCCACAGGAAGCTGCTCCAGTGAGGGACAATATGGCTCGGTGACTAGAACTGGCCCATTAGACCTCCCCCCCACTCCCTCGCTCCACAGTGCTCTGGAATTACCATCTGGGGAAGTGACTTAGCGGCTCTGTGACTCGATTTCCTCCTCATGGTTCCTATAGTCCTACCTAGGCTGTTGTTTTGAAGCGTAATTATGCCTGACACAGGTAGTATCTTCTAATGTTCCTTGTGACTGTTGGATGCTTGTAACATCTTTGACAGGTGCGGAAAGCCCCTGGGGCTTACTGCCAGCCCCCCCAAAGCAGAAGCACCAGCTGTGCATGTGTCGAGGTAGCTGTGTGTGAGGTCTCTGCCTGGTTGCTTGAAAGCTGGGTCATCAGCTTTTTCCTGCTTCTGTACTCTATTCAAAACCCTGGCTCTCCCTGATTCTTACACCTAAGGCTTGCAGACAGACACTACACCACCAGCTCTCATCGTTCCCAAACCTCCGGACTTGGACTCGAACAACACCATCATCTCCCTTCAGTCTCCAGCTTGCTAATCCACCCTGAAGACCCTGAGCCTTGCCTGTCTTCAGAATCCCATGAGCCAACTTCTTATAATAAATCCCTCTCTATCCCCCCTCTCCTCTCAGGAAGTGCTCCCCTGCCCCATCCTTGAGGACACAGCACTGGCTGCAGATGGCAGAGGGGCCCAGTGTGTCCCTCTACAGCCATGGACATACAGACACTTAGGGATGGAGAGCGTTCTCAGCTCAGAGTCACTTTGGACAGCAACAGTCCCAGTTTTTACATGAAAAACCCAGTGTCTCAAGAAAGAGAAAGGAACAGGGGGGATGAGATTTCTTGAGCATCTGCCATGTGCCATGCTGGGAATCCAAAGTCCCCTGACTTTGACTTTAGATCCCATCTTGGAGAGAGAGCTCCAGTCAGCTGGGTGAGAAGATGCTGTATCAGTGGCTCTGACCAGACATGTGGATGAGCACAGCAGGTGCAGGTGGCTCCCCTGGGCATCGGGACACAGGTGAGCCCCTGGCAGGTGGCAGTACCAGGAGAGCATCCATCAGGGGTGTGTTAGGGAGGTGTTTGGAGTGGGGGAGGGTTTCTAGAGACAGAGGTGGGGAAGAAGGGACAAGGCGTTGCAGGTTGGGGAAATTCTGGCTAGGACTTAGGGAAAGAACAGGAGGGTACATCACAGGCAGGCTGGGGAGACTCATGCTGGGGACACAGTGCTTTGTGTCTGCATAGCTTCCAAACTGCAAACTGATGTCCCATGGTGGGGAGGACATGGACTGCCCCTTAGGTTTTAAGATACGTGAACTTAGACAGCTACTCTCCATGCCAAACCCGCTTACTCGTTGTGAAATGTGGCTAACTGCACATTCATTTCCAGGCTTGGTGAAGGAAGTCACGACATCATGAATAAAACAAAAATGTATAGGGTTTGGAGTCACAAAGATCTGACTTCATGTCCCAGCCCTGTTACTAGCAATGTGAACTTAAATAAACTTAATGTGTCCAAGTCCCAGTCTACCTCTTGGGGTTATTATGGGACCCACAGGAAGCCTTAGTTCAGTGTCCCCACTTGGGCCGTTTTCGTACCCTCAAATGACATAGAAGAGGCAGAAGCTGCAGGAGCCTGGCACAAGGAGGCACTCTGTAGAAGACTGAGCCAAATGAGATTCTTTGCCCAAGGGGTTCGTTTGCTTGTTAAGCAATCCTCTCTCCTCTGGAGTTTGTGGACTTAAAACTCCAAGGAAGGCTTTTTTTTAATGTTGGAACCCCTTCCTTCCCTCTCCTCTCGCTTCCCTGGGGCTCCTCCCTCTGTTCTTACCGTAGCCTTTCCTTCTGGACAGTCCAGTTGTTGAGAGAGGGACTTCCTGTTACTGCAGAGAGAGTAAGGCTGCCTGTCTGTGGGGTCTGCAGATTTCTTTGTCACTGGAAAGTCCATGTCTTCCATGCAATAGGGATTAACACCTAAACCGAGAGAGGAGAAGACAAAGATCATTTGTGCTCCCAAAATACAAAGCTCAAGGAAGAACATCACCAGCCTCTACCAACTGTCACCCTCTTGTTAGACAGGGGCCAGCATGGACATAAACCATTTAGCACGCAGTGCCAGGTGCATGGTGGGCAGAGGTGCATGGTGGGCAGAGGTGCTGCCTCAGGCATGGGCGGCATCTTTACTCTCTCTATGCATGCATTCTGCCCTGCAGGGTCCCTGCAGGACCACACGAGTGGACTCCTGCTTTACCTCAGTCCAACTCACTGAGAGCTGATGACATCTCTTACAAATCTAGCAGTACGGTGAGGCTCTCGGGAAACCACAAGGCCACACAAAATCCAGCCGGGCTGTCAAGGAGTTTCTAATCCAAACCACAGAGTAAAAGGAGGAAAATATGGGGCTTCCAGAACAGGTAGAACTGGGCCAGGGTCCCACAAGGGGAGACCAAGCAGGGACACCCCACTCAGAGTCAACTGTTGATTCTTTGGGGGAATCTCAGAAAATGCAAAGTAGCCAGCTTGGTGTTCTTTGTGGGCATCTCAGACTTTCTGTGGACCAGCCATGTGTACAGCTGGAAAACCCTTCAGAGGTGATCTGATGTAACCCATCCTTGACTGGAGCAGTGCTTCCCAGCTGGAATCTGATGTCAGCCACAGAGGCAATTTAAATTTTTCTAGCAGCCTCATTAAAAAAGTAAAAAGAAACAGGTGAGGTTAATTTTAACAATATATTTTGTGAAGTCCAAATTTATCTGAGCTGTTGTCCTTTCAACATATAAATAAGACATAAATTATTAATAAGCCCTTAAACCTTAAACCTTTCTGGTACTTCATCTTCAAATCCTGTACTTCCTGCACTGTCCACTGGGGGGAGCCACGTTCGAGTGCTCAAGATCTCCATATGGCTCTGTCCTGTGCTCCACAGCTCCAGCAGACCAGAGAAGGGCGGGGTTTTCCTAGCATCCCCTACCAAAGAGAGGAAATTCTGGATGGACCAAAATTTTGGGTTCACTTTTAATTTTAGAACAGGAAAGACGTTGGCTTGTTCACAGGTTGACGAGAGGAAGCCATGGTGAGGGTAGATTGAGGAGAAAAGGAGAGAGAACAAGCACCCCTGGGGGTGTGAGGTTCTTAAAAGGTTTGGAGGAAAAGGGACAGAGGTGTGTTGAGAGTGGAGAGGCCTTGGTGCCTTGGGATCAGAGAGTGACTGGGAAACACCCAGCTAGGACGGCTGCTCCCAGCAGTGCCCCAGTGTGCAAGTCCTCATCCTCTCTGACCTATAGTTGGGCTAGGAGAAACAGGAAGCCAGAAGACCTAGAAAGCACTGGAAAGAAGGACACGGAACCACAGATCAGGGCTGGGAGGAGAGGCTGGAGATTGCTACTCCCAAATCTGCCTGTGTATATTTATGTGGGGAAGACTCCAACTCCCCACCAACTGCCAAATGCACACCTGCCCTATGGGTCCGGGTCAACCTGGACATCTGTCGGGCTCTCCAGAGGAAGTAGCAGCCTATCACCAGTCCTTGTATAAAACCGTGCAGCATTTACACCTAACCTGTGCACATAGGTGTGTGTGTCATATACTTCCAATCAACGCTATATTGCTCACACAACTCCTAATACAACGTACAAGCTATTTCAAAAGTCAGCGTACTGTATCGCTTGGAGGTTGATGGCAGGAAGGCAGAGTGCACATTTTCAGTACAAGTGCATTCTTCTCAAATATTTCCTATCTGCAGACATGGAAGGACTACATTATTGCCCTTAAGGAATCAACACAGATCCACAATTTCATCCACAAACTAGCAATGTGGATTATGTTAGAGAAAAATGAGAGAACAATGCAAATATCTAATGAGGAGTTGGTTAACTGGATGGTGGATGTTCGTATAATGGAAGGCCATGCGTCCACTACAAACAGATGTGGATATGAACACATATGGATGCATATTGCATTACAAGGCTTCTGCAGACATGGAAAGATGGGAGAGATAGCAGGAAATGTTAGCATAAATCACCTCTAAGGTAGTGACTGTGATTTCTTCATGTTTTTCTTCATTCCTGACTCTGTATAGTGCTAGTCTATTTGCAGCAACAAGAGTCATGAGGTCTTCCAGTCTCAGTCCTCATCATGATGAGATGACAGAGGCCCTGGGAGAGGGTGACTCACTCAGCACAAGAGCATGTCAGAGGTCACTCACGCTCCAGGCCAGGTCCTCAGATAGCTCCACAGGCCAATGCAGAGCCCCGCTGGCTGTCCAGGACACTCCCATACAATGAAGAACACTCTCAAAGAGGCAAGCAGGCCGACATCTTGGTTTAGTCCACCTGGACCAGAAGACACCCACCTCCCCAAACATCCCTACATCACTGATATCCAGAAGCAGCTAAGCCCTGTTCCCAAAGACACCTTAAGAACACACTTACTGGTGGAGTTGCTGCGTGTCCTTTGGTGGCAGGCTTTGGGAAACAGGAAGTTACTACTCTGTGCTTCTAGTTTTCCAGGCTTTTCTCTAGAGGAAGTTGTGGAAGAGTCCTGCAAAACAATTTCCGTCTTATTTACTCAGCATGTTCATTTTAATGGAAAAGTTCACTTAGTGAAGTGGGAATAAAAATACTTGCTGGATAGTCTGTCGCCCCCACTAAATGACAGGCACTATAAAGGCAGGGAGTTAGAATTACTGTCATTCATTCACTCACAGACATACTTTCATTCATGCAATAAAAAAAACATTAATGAGGGCCGGGAATGGTGGCACACACCCATAACCTGGAGGGTCGAGGTTCAAGAGCAGCCCAGGCAAAGTTAGTGAGACCCCATCTCAAGCAATAGCTGGGTGTGGTGGTGTATGCCTGTCATTCCAGCTACACAGAAGGCATAACTAGGAGGATCACAGTCCAGGTTGGCCCAGGCATAAATACAAGAATGATTCCAAAAATAACCAAAGCAAAAAGGGCTGGGGCTCAGACCGTAGAGTGACTGCTTGGCACAAGGCCCAGAATGAATTCCCCCAGTACCAGGGAAAAATTGAATAAGTAGGTATTACATAAACATAGAAATAACACAATAAATACTGAATAACTGTGCCAGCCGATAAACCTGGAGATACACCTGTGAACATGACAAACAAGGACACTGACCCTGGAGAAATGCCATTTTAGTGAAGGAGGACCGTCAGGAAGCAAGTAAACAGATAAAAGTCAAACATCATTACAGAGAATGAACAGAACCAAAGAGTGACACAAACAGGGACCTTGGACTCTGTATCAGAGATGACAACAAGTATGTCACATCGCTCTAGGATCTAATAACAAGACATTTACAGAAGCATTTGTTGAATGAATGTATGTAGGTAGATTTTAAATACTGAAGCATGATGCATTCTTGTGTTATGACTTCATCACATTTCTGAGTTCTGTCTACAGTGATTCAACTGAGGATTTAAAAAAAAAAAAAAACAATATCCTAGCCGGGCACCAGTGGCTCATGCCTGTAATCCTAGCTACTTGGGAGGTAGAGGTCAGCAGGATCACGGTTCAAAGCCAGCCTGGGCAAATAGTTCATAGAGACCCTATCTTTAAAAAAATCCAACACAAAATAGGGTTGGTGGAGTGGCTTACATGGTAGAGCACCTGCCTAGCAAGCGTGAGGCCAAATAAATAAATAATCAATAAAATTTAAATTTTTTTTAATTCTTCAGTTCTCTTACCATATTGAACAAATTTTCTTCACTTTTTTGTACTAACTATTGTATGCTGATAATTTTCACTGCACTAAGTTTAAAGCAGTGCATAGTTGCCTCGTCTATCAGGGTCACCCATGAAACAGAAAATGTTTGACCCCTCCTCGAGTGATAAGAAGCTGCTCCTCTTCCCCTTGCCTGGGGTTTAGGTTGAGACAGAAGTCCACCATGAGGCTGAACTGTTACTTGGCTTCTTTCCTTTGACCATTCTGTTTTATAACCTTCTTAGCTACAAACACCTAGACTTATTTTTGGTTTCCTTACTTGCTGCTGTAATCCTGAAATATGTGGGTGTTTCCTTCAGGGAAGCTGTGTGGACAGGAAGCCCTTTGAGTATTGGCACCTCTGAGTGTCTTTCCATGGTCTGTCTGGATGGTTGGCTGAGGATGGAATCTTTGGATATTGGTCACTGGGCAGCAGGTGGCTGCAACACTCTCTGGGACTTAGAGTTCCCGTGCGGAGCTTTTAGGGGGCACCTGACACCCCTTTCTTGTGGACATGGCTACCTTTCTTAAACGTACAGCCTGGTTGATTCCGTGTGCCCTGTGGGTACAATCGCCAGCATGTCATCGCTCATCCCGCAGAGTGGAGGGAGGACCAACTTCCACCTCACCGTCAGCTCTGTGTGCCACCCTCACCTCCAGTTCCCGCCACCATGAGCTGGCAGGTAATGGGGTCCTACTAGCATCTGCCCCACTCATGTCCCCGGCTTTTCCCTTCCAGGTGGTTAAAGCAAGTTAATGAGCGCCTCTCAATCCAACCTCACCTGATGTGTGTCATGCAGAAATCCTCCCCGGTTTCCTGTTCTGACAAGCACTTCTGCCCATTTGCATTTTCCTTTTGAATTGTGATGGAAATTTCTAACAGGTGGAGGAGTTAATCAAGTGTATTTTGTAGCAATCTGGAGCCAGAAGTCCTCTCACAGCCTTCCAAACCTGAAACTGTATCCAGTTCTGACACAAGGGAACCCTGCAGGAAACAATGCATCAATTCCCTTTGATTTCCTATGCAAGTCGCCGCTCCTGGGCTCTCGTTTTCCTTCCCAGCAGCAGAGGGCGCTGTAGCGGCCTGAGCAAAAGGAGCAGTCTTGAACCAGTAGCCCAGGAATTCTGTATGAGCAGAAAAGGCCAGGATTGTGTAGGATGTAGTTTTGTTGAGTTGAAGTCTTGATTTCCAGAATTCAACATGACTACTTCCTTGAATCCATTCCTTCATGCCACATAATATTCAAAAGCTATTTCTTACACTAGTCTGATGCGATATCGGGTGTTCTTTTCATGCCTTCGTTCACTCTGTGAAAATGCATTTTTGGAAATGTGGCTTTCCCCATTTGTTTATTAATGTGAAAGTAGATAAGCAAAGGACACACACAAGACACGGAGTAGCAAGCAGCTTTAAACATGATGCTTATAGAGTTTTGTGGCCTGGGCATAAATATGTTATCATGGTAAATTTAAAAAACATATTGAGCTGGGGTGTGGCTCAAGTGGTAGAGCACCTGGCCAACAAATGCAAGGCCCTGCAAACCCCAGTACCACATATAAACCCCCCCACACACACACAATAGTCTATGTTATTAATAGACCCTGACTACAATCGTGCAAATATATTTTTAAAGGGCTGGAAATAAATGAACCAAAATAGTAACACTCATTCACTCAACAAATGCTTAGGAAGCACTTACTACATGTGAGGTATTATTCCTAGTTCTGAGAATATGGCAAGTAGCTGAAAAAAAATACAGGATGCAGCTCTCAGGAGTCAGGAAGAGTGCTTTTGAGTGATGACACGATGGCTACTTTTCAACACCTGTTGTTAACACCATATTTCACATGGTGAGCATGCATTGCTCTTCCTATCAGACCAAAAGCAAATTATTAATTTTATGTTTACTTCGATTGTCACCATAGTGGACATGAAGGTGGTTAACATTACATTTCATTTTTTCTTCTTTTCTGTCCAAGTATGATTTAGAAATTGCTTGGCCAGTAAAACCAAGATGTCAGGAGAATAACAGGAAATGGAGCTTTTTTCTCCCCGAGATTAGCTGGACAAGTTCAACTCCATGTTCAAAGGAGGGAATCTTTCCTTGGAGGTTTCAATGTTAGCTAAAAAAGGCCTCATCCAAAAGACACCTCTTGGGCCCCTCAGTCCCCCACTTCTCAGCCTCTTCTTGCCATGGCGCTGGGGAACAGCCATCTCCCTCCCCAGGCCTGGGTGGTGGAGCCTCTGGTGTCCACCAGGGCTGCGTACATGAGTCCTCCGTCCTTCACGGCTCTGTGTCCTCCTACCAGAGCTGTCTGGACATGGATCACAAGATGGCTGGTCCTTTCCCCCTGACACATAGCTGGTCTCTGAGCCATCCAGAAGCTGGTCAGATACCCAGGTGCACAGCCATCAAACTCGGGGATAGTTCTGCAAACTTCACATGCATCTTTGACACTGTGGTGTGAACTGGCTCACCGGATGCTGCTGCAGAAAAGAATGGAAGTCTACCATCGTGACCCAAGGGGAGACAGACCTAAGGAGCAATTTTACATCAACCATCGAAAGCAAAGAAACAGAGGCAGCACACACATTTTTGGACATTCTATTTCCAGGACACCAAGGCGCCAGTACTCTGAGACCATGTCAAGAGATTGCTCATCCTTTTTTACCCTTAAAATGTCAAGTTTAATGGTTTCCTCACCAGAAATGAGCAGTGAAATGGTTGAGCCCATTGTGAGACTACCCATGTTAAAGTCTCTCACAACTCTGAGCTGGACACTTACTTGCCTGGCTCAGTTTTCTCTTTTGGGAGCTGAAGGTGACACTTGCCAGACTTTGTAATCACTCTCAGGTCTGTATTTTGAATATAACTGACGATTATGTGCAAAGGGTATGGGGCCGCTGCCTTCTCTCAAATCATCACGTCGGGAGATGACTCATAAGAATGAGATATCTTCCCTTGGCTCTGAGGGCAGCCTGGCCACTCTTGGGCAAGTCCACCCTGGGTGGAGTGGTGCCATCAAAGGAGTCTCTGTAGGAGCCCCGTGCTCATTAGCACAGACCCACTCCCTCCCAGCACACAGAACAGAGCTCTTCTGTTCCCACTTCCAAGGTGGGGACTTGTCACCAAGGTCAAGGGGCTGGCAAAGTCCCTGTTAGACACAGTTCCCCCTTGTTCTCACTGGGGACCATGGCCTTGGGCAGCCGTTCTGTGGGTAATACGCTCCATCATTACCTGGGTAGCAGTCTCTACAATTCACCAATCCCAGTGGCAGCCTAAGTGGAGACTGAGTCAACTGTCCAAAGAACTCTTTAAAAGTATTTTCCCCAAAATTAGGGCCAGTTTTCTATCTTCTAGAGAGGAACAGCCAACCCTGAGCAATGGAAAACCCCATGATCATTATCTGGTAACCAGAGAATAAACCCAGAATGAAGGTGAGGATTTCTGGGGCATTGTGTCCTATGCACAAGACAGTTCTGGAACCTAAATGTCTTCCCAAGGGTTAGAAGGTCCCGGAGCTCAGGAGGAGTGTTATGTTTTGTGTGTGGACTCCTGGCTGGCGTCACTGATGTCCCTGGAGTTTGCTGACTGCGTTCCTCCTCAGCACAAAGCTTCCCATTTTCTCTTTGAACTGAGATGCTCCAGGCTAAGGGAACCACAAAATCCGATTCAAAGGTCCTGATGGGGGCTGGTTTCCTGTGGTTGAGTTCATCATGCAGCAACAGACTTTGATCTTCGAGCCATGTGGATAAACAAACAGGCCCTAGAAGATGGTTCTGGGGGGTCACATGGCCATGTGGGGAA